CTGCTGAGTAAAACTCCATCGTATATATGAACCACATTTTCATTATCCACTCGTCAACTGAGGGACACTTAGGTTGCTTCCATCTCTTAGCTATTGTGAAAAGAGCAGCAACAAACATGGATGTAGAAGTGTCTCTGCAATAGGACGAGTCAGACTAGCAAACATTTAAAAGTTTGGTGGAAATCCCAATTGATATAGCCACTTTGGAGAGCAATTTGGCAGCACTTAGTATAATTGAATACACAGGGGACTATGGAGATGATTCTGTGGCTAAAGTGCCTGTTGCTCAAACGAGGACCTGAGTTTGAATCCCCAGCGCTCATTTAAAAAGCCAGGCATGATGAGTTTGATGGATCACCTGTCTTAAAAAGAAGTGATTGAAGAAGACTCTTGACATTGGGAAAATGCACATACAGCCAGGCATGGTAGTGCATGCCTTTAGTCCCAGCACTCCAGAGGCAGAGGCAGATTGATCTCTTGTGAGTTCAAGGCCAGCCTGGTCTACAGTTCCAGGCTAGTTCCAGGTCAGCTGGAGCTACAGGGAGACCCTGTCTCAAAAAGACCAAAAAAAAAAAAAAAGAAAGAAAATAAGAAAATGTACATATGACCCGACCACACACTCTGTATATGCTACAGAAATCTTACCCTTTACTCATAAGGACCAGTGTAGAACTCCTGTGTAATTTAAGATAATAAAGAATTTAAAACAGGGAGCAAGTTAGTATGGAAATGAATAGGTAAAATACTACAAAATAGTTAAAAGGAATTAACTAGATGGAAAGTATAACTTTGGAACTCAAAAAATTTAAAAAGCAAATCATAAAAGGTTTCACATGGTATATGCATGCCTTTAAACCCTACATGAAATAATTCTTCATAATAACTTCTGGGTACAAGCATAGACTTGGTCTGGAAGGATATACTACAAACATGAAAATGATTGCTTCAGGGAAAATGATGTAAGTGGTAGGACTTGAATTTATTAAAGGAAACCTCAACAGGTGCAGCCAGTATTTTCTTTCTCCTTTTAGAATAATACAATATATGATTGTATAACTCATTTATGATTTTTTGAGTATGTCTATGTGAAGAAGGGAAACATTAGTGTACTTCAGTGGGTTACATTTTAAAATTTTTATTTATTTATTTTTATGTGTATGAGATTTTTGCCTGCATATATGTAAGTGCAGCATACATGCAATGCCCTCAGAGGCCAGAAGAGGGTGTTGGATCCCCTGGAACTGGAGTTAGGAACACTTGTTAGCTGCCATTTGGGTGCTAGGAACTGAACCTGGGGGTTCCTCTGCAAGCACAGCCAATGCTCTTAACCACTGAACCATTTCTCCAACCCCAGTGGGTTGTATTATTAATAATAATACTGTTATTCTGTCAAAATATGGGTTTTTATATTATGTATTATAACACACATAGACACATACACACACATATATATGACAATAGTAGCCAGGATTATATGCTCATAATGTGTACGAAAGGTAATTATTGCATATATTTATTTGTTTATTAAAGATTTTATTTTATGTGTATGAGCCTTTTGCCTGCACGTATGTAAGTGTGCCATGTGTGTGCCTGTTGCCAGGCAGAAGAAGGTGTCAGACCCTGGGACTGCAGTTAAGGACTTGTGTTAGGTGCCATGTAGGTGTTGGGAACTAAATCCAGGTTTTCTGGAAGAGCAGTAAGTGCACTTAACTGGTAAGTCATTTCTTGAGCCCCTATTTGTATGTTTTTAAACCTTGGGCTGAGGATGTAACTCAGTGGTAGAATACTTACCTAGCATGTTCAAGGCTCTGGGTTTGATCTTCAGTTCCACAAAAAAAAAGGGGGGGTGGTATTTTTAACTCTTGCTCCATATTGTACTCTCCTTGGTTCATGTATAATTAGAATTTATAAATATTCAGTTTAATGCTTATTTCTTAGAAAAAGCAAAATTATAAAAAATGATTTTTATTCAGCCTGAGTTACTTAAGACTTGTAGACAAGTTTACCTGAATCCTTCCTGTGTCCGAAGAGGATATATGCAACATCTATAATGCCAGATGAACAAATTACCTGTGTATAAAATGATGAAAAATAGTAGTTATCCTTTGTCAGAAGTACAAAATTCACATGTGAGTTGTGTTTAGAAACAAGGTGGCAAGTCAAACAGATTGAAAAACAGCTTGTTATTATATCATATCTATTATCATTAAGGCCTCTATTTCAAAGGTTTTTTAAATATTTTATTTATTATTTTTTATCATGTGTATGAGTGTATTGCCTGCATGTGTTTAGGTGCGCCTGTATTGTGCAATGCCTGGGGAGGTCAGAAGAAGGCACTGGATTCCCCTGGAACTAGAGTTATGAACAGTTGTTAGCTGCCATGTGGGTGCTGGGAATTGAACCTGGATCCCCTGCAAGAGCAGCCAGTGCTCTTAACTGCTGAATCATCTCTCCAGCCCAATTTCAAAGGTTTTAGATCCATCTAAATTACTTTGATTGTTTTTTGGGTTGTTTTTTTTTTTTTTTTCTGTTTTTGTTTGTTTGTACTGATGGAGAGTCTGACACTGTACCTTCTGGAACTCACTATGTAGCCTGGCCCAGCTTCAAACTCAGTCCTACTGCCTCAGCCTTCTGAATGCGGGAATTAAAGGCATGCAATACTATACCAAGCCATCTAAATGACTTGGAGCTATTTTTTACTCTGCCTGTCATTTTGATTGTTGTTTAATTTGACAGAGATCTAATGGAACTACTTGCTAGATGATGTTCTTTTGTATAGACTTTGTAGTCTACGGATTTATTACAGAAGCAAAATAAATTGTGTAACATGTTTCATTTTGTATTTGAAGACTTGTTGCCAAATATTGATATGTGGTAAAATAAGTGCATAGTGGTTAAAGTATTAAAGTAGAATATGGTTTCATCTTTCTTTTTTTGTTGTTCTTTTTTTTGTGGCTATTACAGCATGCTAGCCTCTTGTACAACCCCCCAGGAAGCAACACGAATATCACAGGAAGCACAGAGAATATTTGAGAAACTTGAAAAGTCCCCAAAGCCTATTGTGGCTGCCATCAGTGGATCCTGCCTGGGAGGAGGACTCGAGGTACAGATATATTCCAAAGCTGTTCAGACTTCGTCCAACTCATTGGTGGGACTCACCACTATAAACTTTTAGATTACTGTTTTGCCTACAAAAGTTTTCTGAGTAGAATCACCTTTATTTTTAGTTGTCAAATATCTGAATAGGTTAATTTGTGACAAGCAGCAACGGCACAGAACAAGTGAACCAAAGGATGCTATTTGCATTTATAAACTGAGAAGATTTGAATTGCATCTCTAAGGTCTTTCTTGATTCTGAATGCCTGGTTCAGGTTCACAGGGCAGAGATTTAGAAGACTGATCATATTCATGTACAAGACCACAATACACTTGTTTAAGTTTCTTGTGAGTAGTAAAGATGGTAAGTTTGGAGAGAAGAGAGCCTTACTAGATTGTAACATAGAAAAAAGGAGAGAAAAAGAAAATAAGATTTATTGCATCTATGAAGTGTTTGTCACATGCTGGCCTGTATGTTGACATTTTTACATATATTAAGGAAACTTGGGCTCAAGCTGTCTTCTGTCTCAGACTCCTGTGTGGCTAGAACTGTTAAGAGTCTGCCCCACTCTGGCTTGCACTTTTGTACTGATAATTTCCATTGCTTTCAGAAGATTTTTAAAGAGAACTGCAACCTCCTCCCCCACAAAAAAAAAGTTAATAAGTTTAGGGAGAAATTGTGAAAAGGACAGAAACCGGTAAATTGTAGAAAGTGTCAAATCCTAGCCTAAGGAATTTTGATTTATCCTGTGGTACATTCCTATGTGTAAATAATGTTTAGACACTCACAGATGCTGAAATGTTCCAAAATGACCTTTTCTAACATTCTAATTTTCTTGATTTGTTTGAAGCTTGCTATAGCATGCCAATACAGAATAGCAACAAAAGATAGAAAAACAGTATTAGGTGTCCCTGAAGTATTGCTTGGAATCTTACCAGGAGCTGGAGGCACCCAAAGACTGCCCAAAATGGTGAGTTTAAGATTCCCCAAACCACCGGGTGTGATGATGCACACCCTTAGTCCCAGCACTTGGGAGGCAGGGGCAGGCTGATCTCTGTGAGTTCAAGGCCTGCCTGGTCTACATAGCTAATTCCAAGCAAGTTGGGGCTATAGGCAGACCCTGTCATTCTCAAAAATAAAATAAAAATAAAGATTCCCAACACCATTAACTTGAGACCTCTATGTATACTTCTTTTAGATCTATTCCATCTTATACAAAACATAATAGGCATTCACTGTAAAATTCAGAAACCAAACAAGTTGTGAGCATATAGGATCATTGACAGATTTTTATTTCTGATATTTTTCAGTTCTGCAGAATTATTGATTGGGGTCTTGGGTAAAGGTGATAAGATATGTGTCTTCCTTTTCCAGACTTTTAATTTGTTTCTTCTCTGTATATTATTTAATAGTTTTTCAAACCCATGGGTCATAGCTGATGATAAAGATGAGATAAAACCTTCTGCTCATTCTCTGATTTGGACTATCTCTTGGTTGTATTCATAGAAATTAAAAAGACCCATCAGGCTTTTGAATTCTTAAGGAAAAGAGAAGAGAGTTAGGCTGCAGAGAATTTTTAATTGCAACTATAGAGGGGCCCCTGAATCTCATAGCTTCTGGCACTATCGATTCCTCAGAGGAAAAAGGCTCAGCAGAAATACTGTGCAGAAAAGTTAATACGAGAAGAGAGAGGTAGGGGGGAGAGGAGAGAGAGTTAGTTTTGTTTGGGTGGGTTGATTAGTTGGTTTTGTTTTTTTTGAGACAAGTCTCATTCTATAGCCTATGCTGGCCTGGAATTTTCCATGTAGGCCAGACTGACCTCAAACTCTTACCTATCCTTCTGTCTCAATTTGCCAAGTTACTGGGATGACACGTGCCACCACGCCTGCCTAGTAATCTAATACATTCATTTCTTCACAAGAGTTGTTTAGAGATTTCTTGAAACAGAAAGTTTTGCTGAGTTTCTTTTTCTTTTATTTGTTGCCAGAAGTTGGATAGTTGATTGTTTTGTTTGATTTCTCTGCAGCCATGGTTGACTTCAAATCTATGATTTTCCTACTTCAGCCTCCTAAATTCTAAGATTACAACACAAGTCATGCATCTGGCTAGATGTCATTTTTCTAGTATCCCATATTAGTTGAGCTTCATTTTTGTTAAGCCTAAAATTCTTTCTAAAGCCTTTATTAAAACCTTCAGGTTTCTCAAAGTTTGTGCCATCATTCCAATACTAGGGTATGAGTGTGTTGCTTAGGATTGAACCCCAGGGCCTTATGCATGACAAGCAAGCACTCTACCACTGAGCTATACGTTCAGCCCTGGAATTTTAAATACTGTATAAGTGATGGAAAAACAAACCCATAATGATATAAATGCACAATTTTAGTTAATGAGAAATTAATTCTCTACTTCATTAATTCCATAAGATAGAAACCCTGCATATTGAAGTTAAAAGAAGAGATAGACTTTTTTCTTCAGCTGGAGTATCTAGTCTCAAAATCTAATGTCTATCAGTACGTAAATTTTAATTTACTGATAAGGAACAAAAATTTTAAAAACTGCTTTGACTTTTCTTTTGTTAAAGCTTGCTAATGTGATGATTTGTAAACTGATTGCCAACTTTATTTCCCCCCTGTATTCTGGCTCTTCAATGCATGTTAGGTGGGCGTGCCTGCTGCTTTCGACATGATGCTCACTGGTAGAAACATTCGTGCAGACAGAGCAAAGAAAATGGGACTGGTTGACCAATTGGTAGAACCCCTGGGTAAGAATTAGCATGACTCAGACTTGGTCATTATAAAGTTACTTATTTTCTGACAGAATTAATTTCTTGAATATTGGTTAGAATGAAACTCAGAACCCTTAAGAATAATAGCAATTTTAAGGAGTGGCATTTTTTAAAAATATTTTTTAATTTATTTTTATTTTATGTATATTCATGTTTTGTCTGCCTGTATGTAAGTATATTCCTGTCATACAATGCCTGTGGAAGCCAGAAGAGGGCTGCCATGTGGGTGCTGGATTTGTGTATATTCATGTTTTGTCTGCCTGTATGTAAGTACTTTCATGTCATACAATGCCTGTGGAGGTCAGAAGAGAGCTGCCATGTGGATGCTGGGAACCAAACCTAGGTCCTCTTCAAGAGCAGCCAGTGCTCTTAACCACTGAGCCATCTGTCCATCCCCAGGAGTGATGTTTTCCAAGAACTAATACTAAATTATTTTCAACCACACCTTTGTTTCTATTTTCTTTTATTGACACTTTTAAACTTTAAATTACCTGTAACATTATCCATATAGTAAATTTCCTTCAGTTGCTGGTAGGAAATTTTTTGTTTTGTTTATTTTGTTGTTGTTCTTATTTTTGTTTGGAGTGCTTGGGATCAAACCAACATCTCATGCATGCTGGTCAGGTACTCTTACTGAGTTACATCTCCAGCCCTTGTCTTTTAATAATACAATAAACACATATGAAACAACCAAACTCAGCATGTTAACAGTAGTTGACATCTACCTATGTGCCACTTCTCATGCGGATTCTACTAGAAATAGAAACTTCTGAATTGCCTGTTTATCATTTCTTATATTTCTTACAAATCAACATGTGTGCCTGTAATCTCAGCACTTAGGAGGTTGAGGCAAGTGGATCATGAGTTTGCACCACCCTGGGCTACATAGAAAGTTCCAAGCCACCAGGGCAACATAGTGAGACCCTGTCCCAAACAAACAGGAAAAAAAAAACACATAAAGAGTATTATTTATATAATAAATGTGCCAATTTTTGTTTGTTCCCTCTTATTGAGCATTATTCCATTATATAAATATACCATTGTTTGTTTTTCTAGTCACTGAATGATGACTTTTGAGTTGTTTCCAATTTGGAACTATTTCAAATGAAGCTGCTATGAACATTGATCCACAAGCCTTTATGTAGACATGAGTTCCATTTCTGTTGAGTAAACACTAAAGAGTGAGTTAATGATCCATATAGTCTTTTAAGTTTTGAATATCTTTCATATTTATTTGCCCTCTGTATATCTTCTTTGATAAACTGTTCAACTCTTTTCCATTTTGTTTGCATTTTTAGGATTGATATTTTGAAATATGCTGGGATTAAAGGCATGTGCCCTCATATCTGAAAGGATACAAGTCTTTTATCAAATATGTGATTTGTGGATATTTTCTTCTACTCGGTGGCTTTTTATTATCTAAGGTCAAAAATGTTTAATTTTTAAAAAATGTTTGTTACATTTATTCATTTATCTGTGGAGGGGGCACACACATGCCATGGCATGCATGTAGAGGCTAAAGGACAACTTGAGGAAGTCGATTCTCTGCTTCTACCATTTTGGTCCTGGGGATTACTCAGGTCATCAGGCTTGATCAGGAGTACTTTTACTTGCTGAGCCATCTCACCTCCCCCCTATTTGTTTTAAAATTTTATGAAGTCCAGTATATCAAGTTGCTTTGTATATGTGTGTGTGTGTGTGTGTGTGTGTGTGTGTGTGTGTGTGTATCATGCTATTGACTTAGTACATAAGAAAACCTTTTCTGATTTAAAAAAAAAAAAAAACTGTCCTATGCTTTCTTCTGAAAGTATTCTAGTTTTATTTTTTGTATTTTGGTCTGTGACACCTTGAAAAAAAATAAATGGACATGGAGCCAGAGAGATAACACAGCAATTAAGAGAGGCATACTGCTTTTGCAGAAGACCCAAGTTTGGTTCTCAACACCCACATTGGGCAGCTCACAACCACCTGTAACTCCAGATCTGGGAGATATGACGCCCTCTTTTGCTTCCTTCAGCCCTGTCCTCCTGTGTATATTCCCTCACACAGACACATATACGTTAAAAATTAAAAATAAGTCTTTTTAAAAAAAAATCAACTGACTTTGTATGTGTGAGTCTATAATCTAGATTTCCTGTTTCCAGATAGCCAGTCTTTTGTTAAACCAGTGTAACATAGTCTTCATTGTTGTATTTTTATAGAAAATCTAGAAATAAGGAATTATAATCCTCCAACTAAGTTCTGTTCAAAAGTATTTTTTCCATACTAGTTCCTTTGCATTTGCTTATGGACTTTATAATCAAGATGGTCATGTCTACAAGATACTTGTTGATACAAAATTATCTGCTAGGACTTTTATTGGAATAACAGTGATACCAAATATCAATTTGAAAAGAATCAGCATCTTTAAAATATCATTTCATCCAAGTCATCTCTTTATTGAAGTGATTAATTTCTCAGCACTGAAACTCAGTAAACAGTCTTTGCACATATTTTGTTAAATTGATTCCTGGGTATTTCATAGTTTTAGGCCAATTTGCTTAATTTTATCTAATTTTACATTAAATACTAATATATAGATATACAGTTGCTATTTGGAGACGGACCCTATATCCTGTGATTTTTCTAAGCTCATTTATTAAGCCTATTTGATAGCCTTTTATGTAATGCCTTAAAGATTTTCTACATAGATAGTCATGTTGTCTATAGAGTCAGAATGGCTTCCTTTCCTATCTGGATTTTTTTTTTCCCTGGTCTTGGAATGGCTAAGACCTTTGTGCAATGTTGGCTAGAAGGTAAAAGCAAATATTAACTCATCCCAGTCTGGTAGGGAAAAAGCATTCATTGTTAAACACAGTGCTAGCTGTAGGTTTGTCATATATGTACAGTATTTTCAGGTTGAAGAGGTTCACTGAGAATGGTTATAAATTTTGTCAGGTGCCTTGTTTGTTTATTTTTTTTTGTTTTGAGACAGGGTCTCCCTGTAGCCCCAGCTGGCCTAGAAATCACTATGTAGACCAGGGTGGCCTTGAACTCCCAATATCAATATCCACCTGCCTCTGCCTCCAGAGTGCTAGGTCCAACGCCACCACTCCCAGCAATTATGTTTTTATTTATTTTTTCCAATTACATTTTCTTACAGCACTTTTTGCCTGGAGTATCAGGGCAGGGCTGGCTTCATAACTTGAGTTTGTAAATATTCCTTTCTCTTGTTTTCTGGAAGACTTTTTGTAGAATTGGTATTATTTCTTAGTTAAATGCCTGATAAAATTAACTGTAACAACATACATGGGATTGGAGGGGGATTTTGGCTAGGAAGTTTTAAAAAAATGATGTATTATTTATTTGTGTGTGTGCACGTGTGTATACAGGTGCTCACAGAGGCCAGGAGAGGGTGTCAGATCCCTTAAACTCGGAGTTACAGGCAGTTGTGAGTGCTTGATGCGGGTGCTAGGAGCCAAGCTCAGGTCCTCTGCAAGAGCAGCAAGCACTCTTAACCACTGCGTCATCTTTCCAGACCACAAGGAAGGTTTTTACCTATGAATTAAGTTTCTTTGAAGATGCAGGGCTACTCAGGTTCTCTGGATGAGGTTCAACAGTTTATGTCTTCAAAGAATTTGTTCATTTCATTTAACTTGCCAAATTTATTATCATAAGATTGTTCATCCTGGTGTGTACCTCAGTGTAGAGTGCTTATCTAGCATGCATGAGGCACTAGGTTCCATCCTTAGCACTACAAAAAAAAACTGTTCATGATACTCCTGTTGTTTTAATAATTATAGCAGTTACTAATAATTATACTCTTCAGTGATGTCTCCTGCTTTATTTCTGATAAAGTAACAAACTAAAAGGAAACTAACAAGCCTCATGGCAGTATATACCTGTAATCCCAGACTTGGGAGTCTGAGGCAGGAGGATTGCCATGAGTTGGAGACAGACTTGGGCTACAGAGTGAGACCCTGTATGTAAAAGGCTAAAATAAGGGGAAGCACTGAGTCCTCCCTGCTCATTTTCCCTATGACAGAAGGATTAAGTGAGCTAGTGCACAATGGGGAACGTCACTGCTGATGAAGCCTTGAACAAAGAGGCTTTATGGACCCTGGGGAAGGAGAGGGCTGGAAATAGGGGAAAGTGTCTTTAAAATTCTCCTTTTCTCAGTAAGGCTTCAGCTAATGCCCTGGGGTGAAGAGACCTAGGAGGGAAGATGTCTGGCTAGAAATGGAAATGTGTATGAGAACATACCAGCTCAGGAGACCTATGTCCTTGCCTGCACCTCCCTTAGGGACTGTGATGTGCTGGCTACACTCCAAGTGTGGTATAAGGAAGGCCGTATTTTCCCCAGCCATATTCCCAGTACCATACTCCCTTAGCCCTCAGGGAGTGCCTCAGCTGTTCATGGTTCATGACCTTCATTCCTAAAAGGTCTAGGTCACCAATAGTCTTATGTGAATTTGGTTGCTATAATTTTCTGTTGACTCATTCCAGGCCATGGTAGTGCAAATTCTGGATCCATGAATTTTGACAGTGGGAGAAAGAGCAACATACTGGACACTGACGTTTATGCAGCATCCTTGGAGGGCCTGACCTAGCCTTGCAGAGTGTTGCCGCTTAACTGTCACTATAACTGAGCCTTTAGAGTTTATGCTACCATCCTGTTAAGCCAGCCACTTTGTCAGGATGGGGAATATGGTAAAGCCATATTTAAGGAAGACTGCTAACTACACCTCACTTACTGGGAACTTTTTTGGTCAGAAGCAGTACCGTGTGGAATACCATAATGGTATAAGGCTTTCTGTAAGTTCACAAATAGTACTTTGGAACAGAAGCATTGAGTGCCAAGATGGGAACTCATATCCACAGTGTTTGTCCCAGTCAGAGCTTTTCCATGGTAGAAGCAGGGTTCTGTCATAGTGCCTATTCACCCTGGGGAGTCTCTGCTGCTGGCTGACAGGGCACTTGACAGTGGCTGTAGCCAGGTCCATGTTAGTAAGTTCATACAAGATCTCTATTCCTGCTGTTATAACCACTTTGTTCAAGAGACACGAGTGGCTAGGGCAAGTGGTTGACTGGTGACTGGTATCCTCAGAACAGCCCCACCTATCCACATGGTGTTGAAATCTCCTGCTCAGTTTACCTTTTGGTGAATATTCACATGGGTCACCAATATTTTCCCATCCTTTTGCCACTCAGAAAGGTCTATCCACATACCTGTTTCCAGGTGGTATTGTGTACTGTTTTGGAGATGCTACCATAATAAACCATTACAGATAGCTGATATAAATTTACTCCTCATAGTACCAGAAGCTATGGTCTCTCTTTGGTATGTCCAAGCTGCTGCTTCTCATAACTGAGCCAGTCAGAACAGATTAAGCCTACCCTAACAGCTCATTTAACTTACTCACATCTTTAAAGACTTTATCTTCAAATAGTCATATTCTCAGATACTGCAGTTAGGGCTGCAGCATACAAATTTTGAGAGGGCTTGGTTTAGCTTATAAAACCTTGTGACCAATTTCCCTAATTCAGGTCTTTCTAATTCCTGACCACAGCCAAAGTATTGGTCTCAGCCTGTAAGTCAGTAGAGATTCTTGACTCTGCCCATTTCCTTTCAGGCAAAATGAACAACCCAATGTACTGCTTGAAGTTCTACCTGCTGGGAGGCTGTCCTTTCTCCACTGTCCTTCAGTAACTCTCAGAAAGGGACTGTCATGTGGCAACTATCCTCTTCTACATCATACTATCTATAAACTACACCCAAGTTCTCTTTCCCAGTCATCCGGTAGTAGGGAGCTTCCCTTTTGGGAGGCCTTGGGTGCAGGTTAGGGGAAAGAAAGGGGTATTTTGGCTACTTACTCAATGCAGCCTGTGTCTTCAGAGTTAGTTCATGCTGCCTCCTGTGTACCCTCAGCTTTATGGCTTAGTGGATCGCATGAGTTGCATTTCACAATGGGCAGCTCAGGTCAACTGGTAACTTAAAGACTCATGGTTCATCTTTTGAGTCTCTACTAAGGCTCACTAACAAGCTAAGAACTGTTTCCCATAGATGATGCTATGGCCTTTCCTAGAATCCTAAGGGCCTTCCCTCTGGTCAGCTATAGGAGTCTGCTAAAGCCTTCACACATGCTGTGTGTGTGCCATTGACACCTCAAGCACCAGGTTTTGATGATATGGTCCAGCTGACAGAACAGCTTTTCTCTTGCAGGTTTTTAAAAAAATATTTATTTATTTATTTATCTATCTATCTATTTGTCTTTTTGAGACAGGGTCTCCCTATAGTCCCAGCTGGCCTGGAACTCACTTTTGTAGACCAACTGGCCTTGAACTCACAGAGATCCAGCTGCCTCTGACTCCCAAATCTCTTACAGGTCTTATTGTCTGAAAATAAACTGCTGCTTGGGGTTTCTATGGAGGAAAATGACTTGGTACTTGAGTTTTTCTAAGCCATACAAACTAGCAGCTTCTTGTTGCTTTCTTTAGTTTTTTGAAACAAGGTGTTAATGCTGTAGCCCAAACTGGCTTTGACCTTGTAATCATTCTACCTCAGCCTCCTGAGTGCTAGGATTATAGACATGCTCCAGGGTTCCCCGAAATTAGCAGCTTCTTTAGCTGCCCATCCAAATGAATGCTATGTTACCTCAGAAATCCAGAGTAGTCTTCTAGGTGTGCTGTCTGCTTTTGTGTGGTAGAAGGTGCCACTTGCCCAAATTATCCTTCAGTCTGAAAGGGATGTATTTAAATTATTTTCTAAAATAGAGTGAGAGAGAGAAAGAGAGAGAGAAAGAAGAGAGAATGTTTATGGGTGCTTGCAGAAACCAGAAGGTATTGGATCCCCTGGGACTGGACTTAAAAGTGGTTGTGCTGCCTGACATGGGTGTTGGAAACTAAAATTGGGCCCTCTGAAAGCACAACAAACACTCTTAACAGCTGAGCCATCTTTCCAGCCCAAAAAGGATGTCTTGATGTTCCCTATACCACTAGATCCCTAGAAATTTTGCCAAGGTAGAAAGCCATAAATATTTACTTGCAGGATTTCATGTCCAATCTCTGGCACACAGATGTTTTGCCAATATATCTGAAATGCTTGGTACTTGTACTCAGCTGGCCCATTTAGGATAATAACAAGATGGTGAACCAACATAATATCTGTAAGAAGGAAAGGAGATCAGAATCCCTGTGACTGCATGACTGTGTGGCTTCAGGGATGCTATGCCTGGTAAAAGTATATTGCAGGTCTTACCCTCTGAAAATAAACTCCTGCTGGTGGTTCCGTGGGGAAAAATGGGGCTTCTTCTAACATCTAACTTGATATATGTGACCCCCCCAAAAAAAAAGTCTAATGGTTTTACTTTCCCCCTAGTAGCATCCTTTGACTTGAACCAAGTCTAGTCCTCAGCCTATGCCCCAAAATATTTGATACACACAAAAAGAAAATGACCAGCCATCATTACATAAGATAGGCTGTTCATTCTCTGGAACTTCAAATCATAGTCCTCATGCTTCTGCAGCTCTGCAGTGCCTTTACAAATGATTTTACAACTTACTCAGGGCTTTTCACCCAGTATTGCAGCAGAAATACAGGCCCCACAAGATACACTGCATCCTATAGAAGTTGGAGACAGACTGACAGTGTTTAAGACCTTTTTTTCCACTTAGAGCACATTGTTGCACCTTTGCTCAGTGTTAATGTTCATAGTTCATGATCCAGCTTCTTACAGTCTCTAGTGTGAATAGAAAGCTGATGGGAGCCTTTGGCTTTGGCCCTACCCCAGGCTTTGCCTACCTGGGTCTGATCCAGGCTTGATTTACATTCCAAAGTGTTGCAATCTTTGTTTTGTTTTGTTTTGTTTTTACAGGACCAGGAATAAAGTCTCCAGAAGAAAGGACAATTGAATACCTAGAAGAAATTGCAGTTACTTTTGCCAAAGGACTAGCTGATAAGAAGATCTCTCCAAAGAGAAGCAAGGGCTTAATGGAAAGTAAGTGTCTTTGTAAAGAACAGACAGGCAGCACTTCTTCCCTGCCCCTTTAGTTTTACTTGGTATTTAGAATGAGGAAGAGATTCGAGCTGAGACTGGGCTATGTGAGACCCTTTCTCCAAACTAAGAAAGTGGTAAATGTATTATTTTCTCTATAAGTGAAGTCAACTTTAAAGGGCAACTCTGCCCTATGTTTGAGTCCGCAACCTTACAGTTCCAGCTAAAGCTATCATTTAAAGTCTTGTTATTTTGGAAATTTTAAACATTAATATAGAAGTGGAAGAATATAATAGTAAAACAAAGCTACGTGTACCCAAGACCATGCTTTAATATTTATCAATTAATTTGAGTATGCTAAAGCAGTGTAGTGGGTAGGTTGACGTTGGGAGTGTGTGCATCAGAGGGAAGAGCAGCTCTTCCTAACAGCTAGAATTACTGCATTTCTGTGGAATTTACAGAGCAAATTATAACAAGGGAGGCCTGGGTCTTTCCAGTAAACATCTAACCTATTTTACCTTCCAGAACTGACATCATATGCTATGACTATTCCATTTGTCAGACAACAGATTTACAAAACAGTGGAAGAAAAAGTGAGAACACAGACCAAAGGCCTTTATCCTGCACCTCTGAAAATAATTGATGTGAGTCTTACCCTTTACACATACCTTATTTCTTCCTCTTACATGGAGCAGTTTTCCTTACTGCGATTTTTAACCTTACACATCAGCACTAAAAACTTCTTTTTTTTAATATTTTATTTATTATATTTATTTTATGTGTGTGCATGTATGTGAGTACACTCATGTCGTGCAGTGCCACAGAGATCAGAAGAGGGCTTTGGATTCCCCTGGAACTTGAGTTAAGGACGGTTGGTAGCTACCATGTGGGTGCTGGGACTCAAATCTGGGTCCTCTGCAAGAGCAGTCAGTGCTCTTAACCACTGAGCCATCTCTCCAGCCCCTCAGCTGCCTTTCTTATACAACCTAGCCCATCTACCTAGGGATGGTACCGCCCTCCTGCATCAGTTAGCGCTCAAGAAAATGTGTCACAGACATACCCATAGGCCTATCTTCTGGGAGCAGTTCTTCAGTTGAAGTTCTCTCTTCCCAAGTCTATCAAGTTGACAACCAAGATTAGCCATCATAACCACTTATTATGCCAGCATGAAGCCTGAGTTCAAATTCATAGCACCCAAATAAAAAGCCGGCATGGCTATGCATGCCTGTAAACCCAGCATTTGGGGACAGAGACAGACAGATCCCAGGACCTTCTGACAAGCCAGTCTGGCCAAACCTGTCTTGAGCTTCTGGCTCAATGAAAAACCATACCTCAAGGGAATAAGAAGAGAATGTTAGAAGATGGCATCCACAGTCCTCCTTGGGCCTTTGCATACACACATGGGCATATGTGCCCAGACATACACATACACCACACACACAAGAAGTACTTGAGATTATTGCTGTCCCTTGTGGTAACATGCTTTCCTAGCATGTACCAAGTACAAGGCCCTGAGTTATAAAGCAGCATAGGGAGAAGGAAAAAGGACAGGTAACTGAGACAAATTCATGATTGAAGTCTGTCTTTAGTCAAAACCATTGTCAGAGCCAGACATTGTAGTATACACCTGCAATCTCAGCACTTGGGAGCCTAAGGCGGAAGGATCACAAATTCAAAGCTAGCCTGGGCTAAATAGTGAAGTATCTCAAACAAACAAAAATAAGGCATTGTCAGTACCTTAAATCCCTTAAAGACATCCACATTGCTATGTTTATTAAGAGAATATATGAGAGCCAGGCATGGTGGCACACACCTTTAATCCCAGTACTCTGAGGCAGAGGCAGGTGGATCTCTGTGAGATTGAGGCTAGCCTGGTCTACATAGTGAGTTCCAGTCCAGCTGGAGTAATGGGGAGACCCTACTTCAAAAACAAAGAAGATAGAAGAGGTATGAAAGAGAGCAACAAAGATAATTAAAATGGTTACAGGGTTGGGAAAAAACTGATGGTAGACTTTAAAACTTGGAACTTTTCAATCAGAAAATTCAAGTTCATATAATCAAAACTGGAGAATAGATCAATTAACAAATGTATTTTGAGTAGAAGACATGAAATTATCAAAATATGATGTCTAGGGATATAGTTCACTGGTAGAGTCTTTATCTAGCTTGTATAAACTTCTAGATTCATTTCCCTGCACTGTAAAAAATAAAAATGAAATATGAAACATGACCCCACTTGCATTCATCTTAAGCCTGACTGGAGAAATTAAATACATGTGGTATAAGATACCACTGTATAAGATGTAAAACAGCAAAAGATTAATGCCAGATAATCAGTGCATAGGGGAGAAACTTGAATTGTGAGGTCAGGAAGAGGCTCAAGGGATCTAACCTGAAAAGTGAGTGCTGAGTACATGAAGGGAAAGTCAGGCCAAATGGATGAGCTTCTCCAGCAAAGTTAGAGAGACTGGAAAGTGTGAGGCTCTGCAAAGAGCATTTAGTGAGACCTGCTTTAAAGGTGTCAATCTATAGCAGCCAGGCACTCAGACCTGTTCCCTTGTAGATCTAGACTTGTGGCCTACTATTTGAAGTCTAATAAGACTAGCCATTTTATTCAGCATTATTTTATATCTCACCATTCTGTTCCAATACTGAACAAGAGCTTTTGTGCCTTTTAGGTGGTGAAGACTGGACTTGAGCAAGGAAGTGATGCTGGTTATCTTGCGGAATCACAGGTACATTTTTTTTTCAGTTTTACTGAAAGTTAAAAATCCAGTGCTCTGTTTTTAAAGCAGATAGATGGAAGGAAGGGAGGGAGGGAGGGAGGGAGGAAGGAAGAAAGGAAAGAAAGAGAAAGGAAAGAAAAAAGAAAGAAAAGAAAGAAAAGAAAGAAAGAAAGAAAGAAAGAAAGAAAGAAAGAAAGAAAGAAAGAAAGAAAGAAAGAAAGAAAGAAAGAAAGAAAGAAAGAAAGAAAGAAAGAAAGAAAGAAAGAAAGAAAGAAAGAAAGAAAGAAAGAAAGAAAGAAAGAAAGAAAGAAAGAAAGAAAGAAAGAAAGAAAGAAAGAAAGAAAGAAAGAAAGAAAGAAAGAAAGAAAGAAAGAAAGAAAGAAAGAAAGAAAGAAAGAAAGAAAGAAAGAAAGAAAGAAAGAAAGAAAGAAAGATATATCCAAAGCCTAATCCGCCCCCCCCCCAAGTCGTTATCATTTTCTTATGTTCAGACTAGTAAACAAGTAGATCTGAAACTGGAACAGTGGTCTGTAGATGTCTGAACTTGCTCAATAATGAGATTATAATAAGAAAGAGCAGGAGCAGTCAATCCTCCAAAAATGAATCACTTGGATGGTTTTATTCTGCACTTGGGCTGATTTTGTTGTGATAAATGCATACATTAAGGACTGGCAAATGTAGATCATTTGCCTATATCATGTACAGGCCCTAGGTTCACCTCAGCACCACAAAAAAAAAAACCACATTAAACAAACCTTGATTAAAAATAATTTTATGGGGCTGGAGAGATAGATAGCTCAGTGGTTAAGAACACTGACTGTTCTTGCAGAAGACCTGGGTTTGAATCCCAGCACCCACATGGCAGCTAACAACTGACTGTAACACCTGTTCCAGGGGATCAGACTATCTCTTTTGTCCTCCACGGGCATTGCACAACATGGGTGCACTTACCTACATGCAGGCAATACACACATACACATAAAATAAAAATAATAAATAATAAATAAAAATAATTATTTGTTAGGGCTTAGAGGTGAACACTGAAGCCCATCTCCTTTTTTGTGAATTAGAAAATGAAAAGTGTCCTGTATTCAGTAATAGACAAAAATAAGAGGCAAGTGAACTGGTCTCACACCTTGCACTTCTCTAGCAAGTATTCCAGATTTAAGTGGGTAGAGTGAGTGGTTTTTAGGTTATAAGTAATCACTGAAGAATTTGATAATGGGACAAAAGATATCTGGAGAGCTCAGGGTAAATTCTAAAAAACCAGTTCTCATGGATTGCTTGTGTCTTCCACATTTTTAGGCATCATAACCAGGTACACGTGTACTTATATAAATAGAAGCATATTTCTCACAAATCAGTAGCTTTCTTCACTGTGTACATTGTACAGTGGCCTTATTTATCTGTAAATCCTGAATTCCCATAGTTAAACCAATTGCTCTTTAAAAATACTCAGAAAGAGCCAGGTGTAGTGGTACAAAGGCAAGCAGGTTTCTGTGAGTTCAAGGCCAGCCTGTTCTACATAGGGAGTTCTAGACAAACTAGGGCTACATAGTGAGACCCTATCTCAAAAAACAAGCAAATAAAAATATATATGCATATATTCAGGAAGGAGGATGTGATGGGATGAAGAAAGGGTCCAAGGAGAGTGGGAGGGGGATAAGATAGGGGAATGAAGGGTAAATTTGATCCAAAGATACACTTACTTTTAAAAATCAAGAAAAAAAATCACATCTGTGCTGAACGTTTAGAAACTTTCTTGTTGCTAGCAACTAATGTATATATAATATTTACTATGTATTAAGTAGTAGAAGTAATCTAAAGATAATTTAAAGTATGTAGGAGGATGTGCAAACACTATATCATTTAATGTAAGAGACTTGAGAATTTGTGGATTTGGGTTTTCCTAGGGTCCTGAAACCAATGCCTGCAGGCATACCAATTTAATGAGCTGTGACCATCGTGAGATCTTTACCCAGAATTTGAAAATAGACTGGTTTACTGAATAGAACACATTATATCAATTATCTCATGTTCTGTTCAGCATGTTAGCAACTTTACTAAAGAGACTGTCTCTTTGAAATGCTATTTGTAACCCTGTAATTTTACCAGTACATCCTAGCAGTATTGATAATGGCTTACATTGAGGGTCTAGTCATTTTACTAGGGTTCTCGTTAATCCCCATAACAATGCTATAAGCTAGGCATTCTTTTTCCCATATAAAGACTGAAGAAAGCTTAATAGAAAAATGATAAACCCAGGATGCAAATCCAGTGTGTTAAATCCAGACTCTTAACTCTTACACTGTGAATCACTAATTGAGATTCATTCTCCACAAGTGGGAGTGGGTATGGTGCTGGACACTCTGCTACAATGGAGAGAGAACTGGAGTTAGGAGTCACACTGCCTGGATTCAAATTCCACCTTGGGGCAGTGTGGCCTTAACATCTCTGGATCTCTTCTTAGTCCTTCATGGAAGCAGATTGTTGGAGGTGATGGTGCAGACTCATTTGGGTCTGAGACTCTAGACCTTTGGCAAAGATTACCACTCCTCTGCTAGAGTCTGAGAGTTTCAGTCACATCCAAAACCTTCTTCAGAACAGTAGGGAGGATGGTCCTGAGAAGGGGGGTAAAAAGAAAATACCATCAGCAAGGTGGGAGGCAGAGTCCTGCTGCACAGACTCTCTTGAGGCATCCTGAGGGAAAAATGAACTGGAAGGTGTGTGCATCACCAAGGCTGTGAAGTTCCACCTTTTTTTCTTTACTTTGCAGAAATTTGGAGAACTTGCAGTGACTAGAGAATCAAAGGCCCTGATGGGACTATACAGTGGCCAGGTCCTGTGCAAGAAAAATAAATTTGGAGTGCCACAGAAGAATGTTCAGTAAGCTAAACTGCCTAGAAAGCCCTTGTGAATTCCATTTTATACCAGGCATGTAGGTTCTCTCAGCATCCACAGAACTGGATTTGCCCTCAGCCTCTTCCTGAGCACATGAGCACCTCAGGCCAAGAACACTTTGGCTTTCCCAGTTGAGAGTTCTCTGAGTCCTTCTATGGACTCCTGTTTGTAGAGCTTTCCTATCTCATTGATGTCTCCTAGCAGTCTGGTCTAGGCGCCACTTACCTAGGTCCTTTTGACCTAGGATGCCATCTTGGAACACGCTTCTATCTTATTGTTTAAAAAAAAGAAAAAGGATTGCCAGGCGTGGTGGTGCACACCTTTAATCCCAACACTCAGGAGGCAGAGGCAAGCGGATCTCTATGAGGTCAAGGCCGGCCTGGTCTACCTAGTGAGTTCCAGGACAGCTGGGGCTACAGGGAGACCCTTAAAAAAAAAAAAAAAAAAAAAAAAAAAAAGTTATATTTTTTTTAGAGAAAATGTCAGGCTGTATCCCTGGCTGACATGATACTGTGTAGCCCAGGATAGCCTCAAAGTAACATTGATCCTCCTGCCTCAGCCTCCTGAGTGCTGGGATTACAAGTGCGTGTCACCACATCCAGCTTGTAATTGTTAGTCTTGTGCTTTCTGAGCTATACAGTAAGTAGTGGAGGAAGTTGCATTGCTTATTTCATGTCTGCCACATCAGAAGCCCTTTTTCAGTGTTGAGACTGCATCCTCTCAGCCTTTCATGTGGCAAGTATCATGATACCTCTGAACCCACCTTCTAGCTCAGTGCTTCTCAATGTGGGCAGTTTCACCCTCTCCAGGGAACACTTGAGCGTCTTAACATTGTTGGTTGTCATGACTGGGGAAGAAGGGGTGGTGATTAGGGGTACTGTTCCATATCCTACAATAATTATCCCACAATAGTTAGTCCAAATGCTGGGATGCTGAGGTTAGAAAACTGTCTAGCTGAATTATGTGGGAGATTTAAGAGAAGCAGCTATGTCATTGCCTTCTCTATCTGTTCATCTTCAGTGGGATTCAACCCAGAATGTAAGATAAGAAGTCTACAGGAGACAGGTGGTATTCTAGCCAGGAGGGCTGGTTTCCAAATAGAATATGAAGAGCAACCTGAACTCCTTCCTTGGCATACTTAGTGGCCTCAGTCAGTCAAACCATTTGCAGTTGTTCCACCTAACAGTACCTTGATTTCATGGGTATGATTACCAGGCTGCAGCAGAAAAATGATGGCTACATAAATGTCCTAGTTTGTTTCTTCATTGCTGTAACAAAATACTCTGACCAATACCAACTTGGGGAGGAAAGGGTTTATTTAGCTTACATCTCCTGGGTCACAGTTCATCAGGAGCCCAAGGTAGGAACTCAGGGCAGGAACTTGGAGGCAGGAGCTGGAGCACAGGCCATGAAGGAATGCTGCTTACTGGCTTGCTCCCCAACCCCTGCTCAGCCTGCTTTCTTATGTAACACAGGCCCACCTGCCCAGGGGTGGCACCACCCACAGTGGGCCGGGCCCTCCCACATCATTCAACAATCAAGAAGGTGCCCCATGGACATAGCCACAGGCCAGTCCAATGAAGGCAGTTCTCCAATTGAGGCTCCTTCAACCCAGGCGTGTCAAGTTGACACTAAAGAAATCCAGCACAATAAATATCATCTCTTCATACATTCTACAAGGATCAGATTAACCAGAAAAACAAAACTCTGTTCCCCATGTACAATGTAAGTAGAAGGCAGAGTGTCACCATTGTTTAAGAGGGGGACTTGATTGTCACAAGAAACAAAGGAAGCAAATGACAAAAATGGTAAAAGTACTATTTTAAAAAAAGGAAGAAGGGAAGAGGGAAGTAGTGCTCACCTGTAATGCCAGCCCTGAGCTAAACTGCTCTGTGGGGCAGAAGAGGGTACTTAAGAAACCTAGTTGGCTGAAACAACCACAATTCAGGAGAAGACTATAGTGAAACACTCTAAAAATTGAACTAACTATCCTCAGTAAGCACTTAATATGAACCTTGAATCACATTTCAAAAACTCAGAAGTAGGTGCTGGAGAGATGGCTCAGTGCCTAAGAGCACTAGGTCCTCTTGAAGAGGAATTGGGTTCGGTTCCCAGCACCCACATGGTAGCTAACAACCATCCATAACTCCCATTTCAGAGGATCCAGTTCCCTCTTCTGGTCTCCTCAGGCATTGCATACATGGGTACACTTAGATACATGAAGGAAAATCATTCATACACATAAATATAAGCTGGGATCATGGTGGTACATACCTTTAATCCCAGCACTCAGGAGGCAGAGGCAGGTGGATCTCTGTGAGTTCAAGGCTAGCCTGGTCTACATAGTGAGTTCCAGGTCAGTTGGGGCTATAGGGAGACCCTGTTTCAAAAAGACACACACAAAAAAATTAATAAATAAGCTCAGAACTAAATGAACAGAAAAGCAGAATATGAGTTGACTTGATTTGGGAAAAAGTTGGAAGAAAAAGCAGATGTTTGTATTATCACAAAGCTGCACTCAGAGACACTCCCTGGCTTGTAGTGAAAGGAATGACTGTAGAGGGCTGGAGAAATGACTCAACAGTTAAGAGCACTGGCTGCTCTTTCCAAGGGATCGAATGCCTTTTTCTCGCCTCTGTGAGCATTGTATACATATGTACCTACATGCATACAGGCAAAGCACTCACACACATAAAGATAAAATGAAATTTCAAAAGGCTTGGGAGCCAGGCATTACACACAATCTTAATCGTAGCACTTGAGAGGCAGATGCAGATCTCTGTGAGTTCAAGGCTGCCTTATCTACATAGTGAATTCAGGCCAGGCAGAGCTACACAGTGAGACCCTGTCTCAAAAACAACATACAAAAACAGAGGATGTGGGGGGACGCTTAGGCTATAACTCAATTATTAGAGTACTTGCCTGGCATATATGAGGCCCTGAGTTCAGTCTCCAGCACCACATAAACCAGGTATTGTGATACATGACTGTGATCCCAGCAGTCAGGAGGTAGAGGCAGGAGGATCAGAAGTTCAAGGTAATCTTCTGCTACATAATGAGTCCAAGGCTAGCCTAGGCGACATAAGACTGTGTCTCAGCAAAACAAACAAAAGCCACTAGTGAGGAGACTTGAACTACTCTAGCTAGGGCAATAGAGGTACATATTTCAGGAGGAATGCAAGATACTGTTAAAAAATTAAAATTGGTGAGGGGTTGGAGAGATGGCTCTAAAGTTAAGAGTACTGTCTGCTCTTGCAGAGGACCTAGGTTTGATTCCCAGTACCTACTTGGCAGCTAAAAAATGTTTTAGAAAGATAAAACCACTAACAAGTTAACACATAGGTTAGTCTTCAGAAATAACCCTGCAAGCTTAGACTGGATGGTTTTTCATGAGCTCTAGGCACAATTGAAGAATTAGTATAATGCTGCCTTCATGGGAGTCCAATTCTTTTAAACCCAATGAGTTTTTGCATTTAACCTTAAAAATCAGTAATTTATTGAAGCTATATTTGTAGATAGAAATTATCAAAAGGCACCTTATGCTTGTACCTGCTTTAATTGGTTTATCGGGTGACAGCTTGGTTGGTCTTCCTCAGCTACTGAACTGCCCAAGAGTTGTTCACCAGAATCGTTTCATCCTGTTCTCCAGGCATCTAGCTGTCCTTGGTGCAGGGCTGATGGGAGCTGGCATCGCCCAGGTCTCTGTGGATAAGGGGATGAAGACTCTTCTTAAAGACACTACAGTAGCTGGACTGGGCCGGGGACAGCAACAGGTGTTCAAGGGGTAAGCTTGCTCTGTTTTTACTGGGAGTTAAACTGTTTCTTGGGGGGTTGGAGGTCTTTTAGTTGGGTGTCCTTTTTTTGTCATCAAAGATCCCTTCTTCCTGAACATAATGAGTGTTATACTGTATGGCTAAGTTTCCTGATTTTTAGGAAATGCTAATTATTCTTTTACCTCTTTCTTATATAGACCATTAACATGGTAGAGTCCATTGTCTTTGAGTATTTTGTTGCATATATATATATATATAAATAGAAATTTTTTTTTTATTTTTTTTTTGAGACAGGGTCTCCCTGTAGCCCCAGCTGACCTGGAACTCTCTATGTAGACCAGGCTGGCCTAGAAGTCACAGAGATCCACCTGGCTCTGCCTTCCAAGTGCTGGGATTAAAGGCATGCACCACCATGCCTGGCCATTAGTAGATATTTTAAGTGCCGTTTATTTTATGCTTTGGTGTCAGACTAGAAATTCTCAGGTGTGTGGATTATGCTGAGGTTAACATGTGCAAGTGGGCAGGGCTCTGTTGAGGGCTGAGGGGACGGTGTGAGTGAATGTGTGCTGACTACTAGGTGAAGGCAGGGCAGCCTGAGGCTCTTCAGCCTTGTCTTCCATGACTGGAGTATGTTCTTTCCTGGGGAGCCTGCGATGTCTGAAACCTTACAGGCTGTCCCTATCGTATCTCTGAATTAATAAAGGGTGACTATTCTTCCCAGCCCCGACCACCTGTCCCCTCTCTCATACACATGCTATCAGTTTTGCAGAGAGGAAACGAAGCAGCAGCAGCTCAGCAAAGCTAAAGTTGGTTTCATCCAGGCATTCTGTGCAAACATGATAGATGTGCCAGCTGTATTAGACCATCCTGTTTGAGATGTTTTGCTGAGTGAGGGCTCTTTGTTTCTTAAATTGATTGTGTAGCCTAAGCACATTGTCGTCCCTTGTCTGTAGAGGAAGTTTGACATGGCTCCACAGTGCTGACCAAGACCTGGCAGTTTGATTATGTTACCATATTATAGTGTAAATGAAAAAGAGATGAGATTAAAAAAAAAAAAAAGAGGTAAAAGTTTCTGTGGGGAAAAACATCCAGGCAGGCACTAAATAGAAGCACTGCCTCAAACTAGCAACCAGTATCCCTTCCAGCATCCCATGTGCTCACCAAATGAGAAGCTGTGGCTGTAGGATAGCCTCATCCATGACCTTTTCCTGGGACTCTTCCAGATACAGCTATCAGCTTTCCTTAGTCATCTTAGAAACATCACTTAGGCCTGCTGTGTGCTGCTCACCACACCATACTGCTGGCTTGAGACAGAATGTTTCCTATTTCTTCCCAGAAGTAGTCTCATTAGGTGTGAGAATAAAGCCACTGCTGTTTTGCACTTGGATAAGTCTCTTGTGGCCAACTGCTGTTGTGGCTGTCAGAAACCAGCCCGACCTTTTAAGACTTTAACTGACTACTTCTTTGAACTTAACTGTGGCTTTAGTTTTTCTTTTAGTTAAGGAAGTTAGTGAGTGGATTTTAGCTTCATTCAAAGGAAAACTAGGTTAAGTGTGGTCAAATTGAACCTGAAACAATATATTTCCTTGGCAAAAAAAAAAAAAACACTCAGCTGGGCGTGGTGGCGCACACCTTTAGTCCCAGCAGAGGCAGGCAGATCTCTGTGAGTTCAAGGCCAGCCTGGTCTACATAGTGAGTTCCAGCCAGCTGGGGCTACAAGGAGACCCTGTCTCAAAAAGAAAAAAAAAAAGTTAACTGAGTAGCAGGAATCCTTTTTAGCTCCCCCTGGGAAAAGAGAAACCTTGAATTAATATTTTATGTGATCAGTACAGTGTGCTACTAGAGTGCTGAATGGGAGGTAGATTGATAGTATGAAAAATAGTGCTGGGCTGGAAACGTAGCTCAGTGGTAAGAGTGTGTGCTAAGCCCTGGGTTCAGTACCTACAGAGGGTTTTGGGGGAGAAGGGAACAATGCTTGGGCTCTGTTCTTTAGGAGATCATATTAGAGAACAATGTCAAGGGGTATGTAAGTCTGTGTCACACCAGGCAGTCTGGGACACACTTTGGCTCTTTCCCCCACAGCAGAGCTGCTGTTTTTACATTCATCTGCTCCACTCTTCCCTGAAGATTCAAACTGTTTTATGAGGAATACAATTTTTGTATATTGGATATTCAGAGGTATTTTGTGGTAGAAAGCATGTGTGCCTGGAGGTCAACCTGTCTTCAGATGTTAGCACTCTCCCTCACTAGCTGCTTGACCACAAGTACCTCAGAGCCTCTAAGCAGTTTGGCCCTCTCAAAATGGGGGTAATGCGATACCTCCAGCACTGGTGAAGCCACATAGCTGTCTGGCCCCCGGACACTCAATAGGCACTAGTTTTCTTTTCTTCACTCTGACTAGGAATGTTTTTTTCTAGATTGAATGACAAAGTGAAGAAGAAAGCTCTGACATCGTTTGAAAGGGATTCCATCTTCAGCAACTTGATTGGGCAGCTTGATTACCAGGGCTTTGAAAAAGCCGACATGGTGATTGAAGCTGTGTTTGAGGACCTCAGTGTTAAGCACAAAGTACTCAAAGAAGTAGAAGCTGTAAGTACAGGGCCTGTTGTGCTTGAATTCTGGAAGAGTGGGAGTTTTTGTTTTCTATTTACTTGTTTGCTTATTTATTTTTGTTGATTGATTGATTTTGAGACAGGCTCTCACTGTGTAGCCCAGGCTATGCTGGAACTCACTATGAGCTCAGGCTAGCTTCAAACTAATGGTGATTCTCCTGCCTCAGCCTCCTGAATACTGAGATTATAGGCATGAGCCACCATGCACAGCTGAGATGGAGGTTTTGTTTATTTGTTGTTTTTGCAGTGCTAGGATAGAACTCAGGGCCTCATGTTTATGACACCTCTCTACCAACTAAGCTATACCCCTAGCCCAAGATGGGGTTTTTATAGAAACACCAAGGAAACACACAGTTCTTTTCCAAACATTGTTTTATAGATTTCGTTTATTTGGGGGAACAGGTATACAGGTACCATAGAGCACATGTCAAGATCAGAAGCAGCTTGCAGGAATCAGTTCTCTTCTTCCACCATGTGGATCCCAGGAAGCAAATTCAGGTTGTGTCAGGTTTTGTGTATACACCTTCAATCCCAGCACTCAAGAGGCAAAGGCAGGTGGATCTCTGTGAGTTCAAGACCAGCATGGTCTACATAGTGAGGTACAGGCCAGGCAGGGCTGTATAATGAGACCCTATCTCAAAAAAGAAACTCAGGATGTCAGACTTGGTGGCTAGCACATTTACCTGTTGAGCCATCTCACTGGCTCCAAACATTTATGTGAGCCCATATACATTGTATCAGAAAGTTCAAATCCAAATCCTAAGGGAAGAAAATTAAGTACCTTATTCTCCTAAGCATGGGGCTCATTAGCCTTATTCATGTGGGGGTGGGGGGTCAGTCACCAAACGTACAAATACCCTTGTGGAGTATGGCCAGGTGTCTTTGGATCTTCTTGTTGGCTGTAAGCCATAACCAAATGTCTTCAGCTAGGTAGCAAAAAGAACTAAGGGGAAACTTTTTCCAGACAAAATTCAGATGCTTGTTCTGTGGAAGTGATGTTTTGGTCCTGTTCCCAAGTGTCCTAAGAGCCAGTTCTTAAGATGGAATGCCACGAACAAAATGAGTACTTGATGTGGGTCATAGAGAGAGAGAGCCCAGAAAAGGAGAACTGGCAGTAATCCAGGCACGAGACAGGACCGCAGCTAGACTAGCCTCCAGTTGGATAAACAGAATGTGAGTTAGGAAGTGGTATTTGTGAATGGTACTGACTTGGCAACACACTGATGTCTGTGGCCATGAACTATGATGAAAGAGGTGGTTCTCTGCCTGTGTGGAACAGTAAAGAACAAATCTGATTTAGAAAATAAAGCCAAGGAGCACAATTGCGGACAGTTTCCACTTATGAAGCACATATCCATAACCTTTTCAGAACCCAAAGTGCTAACCTACGTGATAGAACTCTTCTCACAAAATCCTTTCTTTAGGCAAAGTATAATACCAGACACAAGTAAGAACTTCAAAGGTCCAGGTAGATTTATGTCCCTTTGGTGCTAGGTGGCACTTCAGCTTAGAGACTTAAGTGATTCTCCCAGTGTTCAGAGGCCACTGCTAAGCCAGGAACAGGCAGATTTTCTCCAGAGCCAGTGTGGAGCAAAAGTATTGACCAATTAGGACATTATATTTTCTCTTGGAAAATCTAGATATGGATGTATCGGAATAGAGAAAACTTTGTTCATTTCTGAAGTTGGGAAGCCAGTGGTCAAGAAAAAGAAAAGACAGATCACAACTGAAGAAGTGTAGACTAAGAACACATCAAGATTGTAGTCACAGAAGAACCAAGATTAAGGCAGAAAAATAGGGCAGCATCTTGAAGGAGAAGTGGTCCACAGAGGGGAGAAGCCAGGGAAAAGTGAGCAGATGGAAATAGGAAGAAGGATGCTCAGGGAATCATTGACTCTTAGCAGAAAACAGAAGAGATACTAGCTACAGGTAGATAGTTTCTGCAGGGAAAATCCTAAGTGTTACATATACTATAACTGTTTATGTAACATCTCAGGTGCTGTTGGCAAAGCTAGTGAAATTATACAAGGTGGGAATAATCTAAGAAGGTATTCAGAAGATGTGGCAGAGTGAAGTCTAAAAGAAAGTCCAGGGGCTGGAGAGATGGCTCAGCGGTTAAGAACACTGACTGCCCTTGCAGATGACCCGGGTTTGATGCCCAGCACCCACATGGCGGCTACAAACCATCCTTAACTCCAGTTCCAGGGGAATCAGAAGCCCTCATCTGACCTCCACAGCACTGCACGACATGGGTGCACTCACATATATGCAGGCACTCATACACAAAATAAAATAAAGTCCAAAAATTTTAGGAGAAAGACCTCCAGGATAGCATAGCATCAAGCCCATCTTCCTATCCGGCCCTTGCTTTTTTTTTTTTTTTTTTTTTTTGTGTGTGTCTTTTTGAGACAGGGCCTCCCTGTAGCCCCAGCTGGACTAAAAGCATGTACCACCATGCCCGACTCCTTGCTTTCTTTTTAAGAAAATTTCGAAGTTGACGCTACTGGTAGTTCTCAGTTTAAGGTGATCTTCTCTTACCCTCTGTAGAACTAATCACACCCATTCCTGACATTCTTCACAAGACACTATTTCTAGATCCCTTCCTGTCCTGATGTCTCTTTATTATTTCATGTCTTGGTATACAAACTGCCACAAAACATCGTAGCTCTGCAGTGTGGGCAGGACTCTGCAGAAATAGCTGGTCCTAAACAACATGGGTTCCAGGTCTAGGGTCACTAATGGAAGTGCACTCTGCTGGAAATCTGGTTGGAAGCCCAGTGCTTCCCCACATGGCCTCCCTCTCCATGGCCTGGTCTCACTTGGTAGCTTTGTCAGAACTTCTCTACAGTAAGGTCCTCTAAGAGCAAAAGCACAGTGAGGCCTGAAACTCGCAGTGGTACTTCTCTTGTGTTCTGTTGGTTAATAACAAGTCCTAGGCCAGTCCTGATTCAAGGACATTGGAAATAGACTCCACCTCTGGATGGGAAGAAAGCCTGCAAGGTCAAAATCTTTAGACTTCAAAGCACATCCAGATACAAAGGGGGTAGATACCCATGCCAGATCTTGAATGGAGCTTGATTCAAGCCATCTTTTTGGTATTTATCTAAGGCATCATGTTCACCCAAGTGCTGAGATGTAGTGTCCAGGTCAGGATTAGGTGCCCTCATGATAGGTCATCACTAGAAGAAAGCTGAATTGGAAAGAGAACAAGGTCAACACAAAAGCACTTAGGATACCCATAAACGTCACATGAGTGGTATCTGTAGTATGAGCCATTATGGCTGAGAGTGGGTTGAGCCCTGGTATCCCTCAGCTTTGCTGTGGACTCTTATCTCTAGGCATACATGACACATTCTTAAATTTTCCGTGCAGGTGACTCCAGAACACTGTGTCTTTGCCAGCAACACATCTGCTCTTCCAATCAATCAAATTGCTGCTGTCAGCAAAAGACCCGAGAAGGTAAACTGAACAGAGAAAACCCCTGAAATGTTTGACGGCTTCATGCTTGCCAGTGAAAATTTAGAATACAAGCAAAGAAAGGACCAGGGTGATGGATGGGAGTGGGTCCCAAAAGGTGGGCACAAAACAGCAAATGTCATGCAGGATACTATATTATCTTTGGTAGGTAGTTTGCATCCCTCCTGGGTATTATTTTTCAAGTTCAGACTGTTAAACCTACTCTAACTTAAAATTAGGTATTAAAAGACCCTCAAACAAGAAGGGATCCTCAGTTCAGCTATAGAACACTGTGGTGGTTGTCTAGTTGGAGGACTCCAACTCCAGATCCAGGAATGGAGGAACCTATAGTTTTACTCTAGACCTACCCAAGACACGAGAGTGCTAGATGAAATACTTTCAGTGAGTGTTTTGAATGGTCCCTAGAAAGTTATCTTTGCTCAACCAGAGTAATTAAGGAGGAATGCAATCATTCAAGGAGAAATAGAACAGTACTTCTTTTATGTGTACGAGTGTATTGCCTGCATGTATGTGAGTGCACCCATGTCATGCAATGCCTCGGAGGTCAGAAGAGGGCGTCAGATCCCCTGGAACTGGAGTTAAGGATGGTTCATAGCCGCCATGTGGGTGCTTGGAATCGAACCCAGGTCCTCTGCAAGAGCAGTCATTGCTCTTAACTGCTGAGCCATCTCTCCCGCCCCCAATCCTAGCGAATTTATTGGGTTTACTAACATAGCAGTGGGTGAGGGGTTACTTACAGGAGAGTGAGTGCTACCCCCATTTAAGGCCACACTAGAAACTCCACACCCAAGCATAGATCCTGTGACCTTCCGGCAGTGGCACAAAATTGTGAGAGAGGGCATCTTGTGGCGTTTTTTCACTTATATATCCTTAGTCCCTCCTCCTCATGCAGCTAAGGCTGACTGATTGGGTGGGAGGGGTGTCTGACTCCCCCTGCTCCTCCTTTTCTTGAGGAAGGTCAACAGTCAGGTTTATAATCGTAGGTAAGCAGGTACAATCATTCCTGGGAAGGAGGCTTGTCTATAACTTGCCAGTCTAGTTTGCCAGTTAGAAGACAATTCTATGTAACATCAAACAATACAAGTCTGTTTCTTCCTCCTCAGACCATGTTCAAATGCAGTATAATCTACTTTCCTAGCACATAGCAGGGATAAGGTGATGTGATGTGGGGCCTAATGGAGGTGGGCTCAGGAATGGCAGGAGAAAGGTCAGAGGGACAAGTGGCAGCTGGATAGTGAGACTATGGACCCAAACTTCTAGACTATCAGCAGCATTCCTAGCCCCAGCTACCCTTCTCTCCAGTGTTTTCCTAGCAAAAAAGGGAGTGATTTGATTTGCTCATCAGCACTAGTAAATGTGTTGGCAATGTTTCCCCTCACCAGGTGATTGGCATGCACTACTTCTCTCCTGTGGACAAGATGCAGCTGCTGGAAATCATCACGACTGACAAGACATCCAAGGACACGACAGCTTCTGCTGTAGCAGTGGGTCTCAAGCAGGGCAAGGTCATCATTGTGGTTAAGGTAAGGCATTAAAGGGATTTGGGAGGTTCTTAAAAAGACTCCTTAAGCCAGGCATGGTGGTGCAGACCTTTACTCCCAGCACAGAGTTCCAGGCAGAGTCAGGTGAATCTCTGATTTTGAAGCCAGCCAGGGCTACATAGTGAGATACCCCCCACTCCACCCCAATCTCAACAGGCTTATTTATAACTATTCCGGGGTGTATAAAAGCTTCTAGAACCCTGTCCACTGGGTTGTCTCCACTGTATCACTGAGGTGAGGCAGGTGCATGCATGTCTGGGATATGGCAGGGTTCTCCTCACTACTCCAGACCTTGAAGGAGACCATGAAACTGTTGCTATGCCAAAACTATCTGGATGGCTTCCTCTGCAGATTAATATTGAGCGTGCTGATTGAGAATTAAATCAACTAAAACTTTGAAATGATGTCTGGGAGAGGGAGGCTGGGTTTGGACATCAGTAGTTCCCACCAAAGCAGGGCCATGAGCTCTCCTCCTCTCCCATGGCAGGATGGACCTGGCTTTTACACTACGAGGTGTCTTGCACCCATGATGTCTGAAGTCATACGAATTCTCCAGGTGGGTCTTTTACTGTGGAGTGTCTGAGGTCTTTTTGTGCCTCCCTCTCCACACTAGAATGCGAAGTCTTGGGGCTGAAGCTGTGCTCCTTTAGCTTCCCTAGCATCCAGAAAGCCAGAGGCCTCTTAGCATACTCTTGCATGCTATTTCTGCATTCCCTCTGGGGTAAGGACCTTCTAGAAGAGTCTGCTTGGCCTGACTGATGTTGCACCTGTTTGTGGCACACACAGACCCCACACATGTGGCAAGGAAGAACAGGGATCCTCTTCACAGATCTTCCCCAGATCTCATGCTCTGCAGTGCTGCTCCTTGGCAGTACTGATGTCTCTTCTCTCAGCATGGTGCTTTCTGTCCTGGTAGCCATGGCATCACCCTGTTCCTGAGATTCAGAACTGTAAACAAGAAGGAACCGAGTAATCTATTCATCATCTCTAAGCTTCCTCAAAGTGCTATAGAGAAGGTTCAGGGTTTCCACTTGTGTTTTCCTGAATAGTTAGTGCTGGTTTTAGACATGGCCAGGTGATGTCCAGAAAAGAAGTGGTGTTTACATAAATCTATGTCAGTGGGCCAGCATAGGCCCTTCTGTTGGGGGAATCCAAGATGGCCTTGCTCTGAGGCCCGATTTACTTCCTGTTCAGGAAGGAGTTGACCCTAAGAAGCTGGATACCTTGACCACAGGCTTCGGCTTTCCTGTGGGTGCTGCCACCCTGGCAGATGAAGTTGGCGTGGATGTAGCACAGCATGTGGCAGAAGATCTAGGCAAAGCCTTTGGGGAGCGGTTTGGAGGTGGCAGCGTAGACCTGCTGAAACAGATGGTATCCAAGGGCTTCCTGGGTAAGTAGCCAGAGGAGACAGGAGTAGCACTGTTACAGAGTTCTGAGCAGTTCCTGAGACCAGAGAGTTACAGAAGGCCCATATGGAAGAAAGTGTCTCCTAAATGAGGAGCTCTAGTCATAGGGAATCTCTTAGGCTAAGCGTGTAGATTAAGGGGGAAAGGCAGCCCTCTGGGCCTCTGCCACTTACACCAGGTGGACCAGCATATTTGTCCTGCCCAAGGCCTGAAATTGCAGAACCAAGTTCTGAATCCAGACTTTACCCTGTTGTCTGGCTACCTGTGGGGAAATATTAAGCCTTTCCATTCAGAACATACACTGAGGCTGTAGCAAAATCACATCTAGGGCCTGAGCCTCCTGTCTGGACATTAAAACTCACACAGTAACCTTTCTCATCCAGACACACATTTCCAAGCACTAGGGCTTCCTCTCTTCTCTGTCAGTCATCCATCTAAACTGCTCAGGTTGGCTGAATGCAGGAGCTCAGGAGTGCAGCTCAGGGCTTGAGCCTCACAGTATCCAGCAGAGACACCACAGGAGTTCTCAGCCAAAGCGGACAGCAAAGACTAACGCAGCCTCTTCTTCATTCTTTCAGGTCGCAAGTCTGGGAAGGGCTTTTACGTCTATCAGGAGGGGTCAAAGAAAAAGAGTTTGAATTCTGACATGGATAGTATTTTGGCAAGTCTGAAGCTACCTGCCAAGCCTGAGGTGTAAGTCAATTCGGATGGCTAATTATATAGAAACAGATGTTTCTCTGTTAGCTGTAACTCCCCAGCCCTTTTCTGTTATTTTTGGTTTTGTTTTTATGACCCTGAAGATGGCAAAGCACCATGCAGGTGTGAACCCACCCCTACACATGCCCTAAGTTACAGGCATCAGGGTGAGAGTGGCCAAACCTGGGGGAAGCCCTGCCTACTTCAGCCTTGCCTGTTCAGGAGAGCAGGTAGCAGGATGAATTGGCGAGGCTCCTTCACCCTCCCAGCTCTTTATCATCTGAACACATTATTGTTGATGTTAAAAAACAGTGATAATCTGCGGGGCGTGGTGGCGCACACCTTTAGTCCCAGTACTTGGGAGGCAGAGGCAGGTGGATCTCTGAGTTCAAGGCCAGCCTGATCTATATAATGAGTTCCAGGCCAGCTGGGGCAACAGGGAGACCCTGTCTCAAAAAGACCATTTTAAAAAAAAAACAAAAACAGTGATAATCTCTGGCAGGCCCTGTTTTGGGGGCTCAGTTTCATGTGGGTAAGTACCACTCTTTTCCCAAGGGAAAGGCCACATCTTTTAGAACAGTTTGGTCCATCCTGGCCACAGGGCTCCCTAGCACCTGCCCACACCCTATGTATTACAACCTAGCTCTTGCCTGCATCCCATTCTTTCTCCAGCTAATTTCCCTTCCTTTTGTCAGCTCCTCTGAGGAAGACATCCAGTATCGTGTGGTGACAAGGTTTGTGAATGAGGCAGTCCTGTGCCTGCAGGAAGGGATCTTGGCCACACCTGCAGAGGGAGACATTGGAGCAGTCTTTGGTCTTGGCTTCCCCCCTTGTCTTGGAGGTCAGTCTGCAGGTTGGGAAGTTGGCTTCCTTTATTCTAGCATTGTTACTGTTGTCTCCTTCACTAAAGTCCTGTCTCTCTGCTCAGGGCCCTTCCGCTTTGTGGATCTGTATGGTGCTCAGAAGGTAGTAGACCGGCTCCGGAAGTATGAGGCTGTCTATGGAAACCAGTTCACCCCATGCCAGCTGCTCCTTGACCATGCTAACAGCTCTAATAAGAAGTTCTACCAATGAGCAGGCCCTTGCACCCTGCTCCGTCCACTCACTAACCCAGCTGTTGGCAGTGCTGCTTCTCATCGGTGCTGTCTAGATGTATCAGGAAGCAGGAGGAAGACCCAAGTCTGGCTTTGAGTTTACTCCTTGATCAAAGTGCCTTCAGTTCTGACCAACTCTCCCTCCAGGTGACGTCTGACTCTGAATTAGTTTTACTTTACATTAGAAGGTGGAACCTGCCGTGTTCCTTTTGCAAGCCCTTGAGGCTCAAAGCAGCAGCTAAGAGCAACCCAGAACCATCTTTGCTGCCTGTGCCTCCTGGAAGACCAGTGGGGACCAGTGGTGGTGAGGGCATTTCTGCACCCAGCCAAACACAGGTTACCAATAAAATCCAAATTATCAGCCTCTCTGCCTTCTTGTTGTTTTATTGTCTTTGCCCTCCACTTAAGTACCCCCTTCAGTAATAAAGCTTTGTGTCTGTGAAGCAGAAATATGTTGGAATAAGTCAAGAGGGACTGTGATATCAAAAATGGGACTTTCTGTGCCTACCACCATTTAAGCCCAACTGCCTAAGTGCTGTGGCTGGGCTGCTTAGGGTAGGGTTGTAGCCCCGGTTATCAAGAACAGTAGAAACAGAAGAGGTATGGTGTGCCAGGGTGCAAGAGCTGTTCTCTTGCCACTCATTTTCTTGCCGTATCATTGTACCCATTTCTTTTCTTGGCGTGCCTCATCCTTGGCTTCTCAGGGTGTTTATGAGACAGAGTTATACAAAGAACATAACATTTACCTGATGCTCTGGAATCCTGCAAGTCTGGGCCCCAAGCCCGAAAGCGAGGAAGAGAGGGATGCCTGCAGATCAGGCCCACCTCACTGCTGTGGCTTTAACTCATCCTACCCCAAAACTGGCAGCAGTTCTCACTCTGGCTCTCATAGAAGCAGGGCCTGGCTCCATAAACAGTGCTGGGCTCCTAACTAGGTCTAGCAGAAGGATCCCCAGAGTCACTGAGTGTGTATGGAATCCTAATTCCAGTTCCATCATACTCTGCATTCTAAGCCCAGATGCTACCTGTGGCTCCTGCCTCTGCTGCACTTGCACCACTAGCTCTGGTGCTGGGACTGGGAGACCAGAGGAGTTTACCTTCCAGCTCATTGCTAGGAAGCAACATACTAAATCTGAGAGAGATCCCTCAACTGGGGTTTTCAGATGGCCAGAAGACAGAACTCATTCTGTGTACCAAGGCCATGCCCAGGCATCTACTGCAGGTCTGAGAGTGCCTGGAGGCAGGTTTTCTGAAGTGTTGGCAGTTAACCTGACCCCAGCTGCTGGCAGAAATAACCTTTGCCTTGTGGGTCTTCCCTCTAAATAGCACCAGGTAAGTGCAGATTCTGTTGAAATATTAGTGGAGACTGGAAGTTCTTATGCAATGGGGCTTATAGAAAGAATGGAGTGTATGAATGGGCCATATGCATACACCATTCCAAAGTCCTGCCCTGCCTAGATGTATACACATTGTGCCCTTGGTTTTGGTGGAGCTCCAGAAAAGAAGCCAACACTTGAGTCCCACTTTCACTAGTCTGTGGTCTAGCCTTTATTTCCCTAATCCTTGAGGGTTCATTAAATGACCTGTGAGGAGACCATATGTTGCAGCATCAGCTTCTGTACTCCACTCTGGGGGCACAGGCATGGGCATGGCTTAAACTACTCATAAGTAAAACAAGAAATAAATATCTAGGTAGGCCTGGGAAGACAGACGAGCAAGCTGTAACCTCTGGAACCCTGACAGCAGAGGGTATGAGAAGTGTGCTTTTTGTTAGGGGTGCTGGGGAAGAGGGGGGTTGTTCACTGACCAGGGCTCTGTGTGCCACACAGGTCACCGTGCTTGAGCCTGAAGGGCACAAAAATGTGCTCTAAATCATGTCAACAAGTACAGCACTGAGCTCAGGGAAGCCTTCCCTCCACCAACTGTGCTCTCTGTGCCAGTGATACACCAAGGAGGACACCAAGTGTCCATCAGAGCCAAGTGCAAAGGGCAGGGGACTGGTGGGGTGGGTGGAGCAGACCACCACTTGCTTCCAGAATCAAAGAGCTGCTGATCTAAATCTGGCTATACTCCCCCAGGGACTAGGTCCTCAGACTGCACTCTGTGGGAAAGAACAGAAGGATGGCTATTTGTGGTGAGGTCAGAGCAGAAGCAGAGCCCAGAGTGGGGACGTGGGTGCTCTGACAAAGGCCTGTAACTTGATCTACCAGGGTCCATGTCCAGGTGCCTGATCTTGGGAGGAGAGGGAAGAAGGCCTCACAGAAATTGTACCCCTGACTCTGGAGCAGCTGCAGGCCATATCCTACAGAGCATGAATGAAAGGGCACTTGGGGAAACTGTGCTTAAGTTATGGGCCATTTTTCCTTGTCTCTGACCCCTACCTACAGGGCTGAGAAGTGTGTGATGTCTATGAAGGGCTCCAGCAGAGCAAAGTATTCTACCACCAAAAGGCCACCTTCTGACGCAAACCCCATCCCCACACTGCAGCAAATGCCTCACCAGGGCAGGTGCACAGCTGGACCTCCTCCCCAGGTATTCTTCACAAAAGATGCGCCACTTCAGGTCTAACCCCAGAAGACCACAGTTCCCAGCGTCTCTCCTGCAACGTTCTACAGGTGCCTACAGAGCAATCTCAGTCTTGGCCCACATTCACCCTGTAGGCAGGACCTGCCTCTGGGAGTGCTGTCCCTGGCAGACCCATGACTAATCCCCAGGGTCTCTGTTCCCAGCCATCAGGCCATGTAGCTGCTGTCTGGACAGTTCAGATCTTGGGCCGCCAGCCTTTGATGAACTGCATGATCTTCTTGATCTGAAGCTTGGTGAGGTGGAAGTCATCAGCCAGGATGTCCTCGCTGAGCTGCACAAAGATACTCCCATCGATGCGTTCTCGGGCAAAGAAGCTCACCACGTCCTCTGAGAGCCCAATGAAGCGCAGACTACGAGACACCTCTTCCAGGGAGAGCGCAGACAAGTCTGCTGGAGGCTGCCAGGAGGAAGCATCCCGTACTCCAGCACCTGTGGCTCCCTCCCGGGGACTGGCAGGAGGCCCTTCGAGGCACCCTTGGGTGAGAAAAAGTAAGGTTCCTCCTGCCTCAGGCCCTTGCAAGGCAGATGGTGACAATGATGTGGGGACCTGCCTCAGCACCAAACTTTCAGGCTCAAAGGCCTTGGGAGGTGCAAGTGGTGAAAGGCAGGCTGCAGAAGCAGTTGCCCCCACAGCTCTAGGCTCCTGACAGCACAGCAGCTCTGGTTCAGGAGGACTGGCCTGCCCTAGTTCGAAGGGGTCCAAGGGCTCCAGTGCTGGCTCCTGCCACTCAGAGGCAGATGGGGAGGAGGGTAGAGGAGCTGAGTAAGCCTGGCCCTGCAGGGCTGGGCCTGAGGAATGTGTGGGGCTGGAGGTGGCCAGGGTACCTGGGGTGGGTGTGGACCCAGAAGAGGCCACCACTGCTGAAGCACCTGAGGGGTGGGCAGGCCCAGAGAAGGGGTTGAGTGCACCAAAAGTAGCAAACCGCTTCTGGGAGTGGGAGGGCTTAAACAAAGGTGGGCAGCCATGGTAGGTCTTGACCACTGGGGTGTCAGCCCCCAAGAGGGAGGTGGCATGACCATTCAGGGGCTCTCCTAGGGTTCTTGAGGCCTGGCTGGGCTGGGTAGTGGTGGAAGGTAGGGGTCCTGGGGGTGGGCAACTAGAAGACTCGCTCGCTTTGCAGTCTCCCCAGGTGCAAGGATAACAATACAGAGAGTATGCATCCGGTGATGGGGAGCCACTGCCGCTGCGGGATCCAGCCCTATGAGCAAACAGACAGACACACAGGATATGTTAAGACAGGGAAGTACAGGACCTCATGGATGTCTGCTGGAGGTCACCTGTCTCCTCTCAGCAAAGCCAGCCAGGATGCTAGCCTCAAAGCCTGAGACCCATGAGGATTCCCAAAGTCCCCAACCCAGGTCAAAACACAAAGGGGGAATTCAACTGAGAAAGGACAAATTGAAAACTAGGCGCTCTCCTGCAGCAGGATCTCAATGCAGAGAAAGACCTCTTCTATCTGAGTAAAGCTGGGGTCCAAGGTAGGGACTCACCCATCCTGCAGGCCAGAGGAATAGTAGGAGAGGCTGGAGCTGGGAGAGTGGACTGGCTGCAGCTTGGGGAAGCGGGAAGGCACTGGGGGACTGCCTGTGAGCCTGCTGCAGCTGCCACCACCTCGGGGAGGCACAGGAGGGGCGTGAAGCAGGCGGCACTCCTCCTTCACCTGCAGGTAGAGGACCATGACTGCTTCAACAGTCAGCTGGCTCTCCTTCCCTCCCCTCCCCAAGCAGCCGGACCTGAGGGAATAGGCATCACACTTTGCCCCACTCCAACTGTCCACCCAGACCTTCTCTAGCCTATTTTACACCCCTGGCTCTGTCCACAACAGTCTCCTATTCCACCATAAATATTAAAGTAGATCAAAAATAGATAAAGTAGATCAAACAATCAAATATCCCTTCCTCAAAGAGAGAAAAGAACACAGGATAAAAGGGACACCAAAGGAAGGAAAAGGACCTGCCATCAGGATCCCTTCCTTATATAAGTACCCCAAGTGGACTCCTGGGGTGTTAATAGGTGTTGTGGATAAGGGAAATGTCCTGTGGAAAAGTTTTACTCAATGCAGAACATCTCCAAACCTACAGTGTGGTTCTGACTCCAAAGTAAAAACAGAAAACCTTTAATCCCAGAAGTCGGAAGAGGCAGGTGGATCTCTTAGTTGGAGGTCAACCTGGTCTATATAGCAAGTTCCAGGCCAGGTAGGGCTACACTGTAAGACCCCGTCTTTAAATAAAAATAAAAGCCGGGCATGGGTGGTGCACACCTTTAATCTCAGCACTCAGGAGACAGAGGCAGATGTGTCTCTCTGAGATCAAGATCAGCCTGGTCTACATAATGAGTTCCAGGCCAGCTAGGGCTGCAAGAGCCAAAAAGCAATCAATCAATCAATCAATCAATCAATCAATCATCAATCTAAATATAAAGTAGGAGAGGAACTGCTGGGAATCACTCCGCATTTTCTCCATTTACTTCACACTGGAACTTTCCCAAAGGGCTTCTGTGGAGCTTGTGGGTAACCCTGTTTCCAGGCTCACCTCAAATTCTCTACCCCTTGAGGATTCTGCCCCTTTTCTCTGCCCTTCCCCATCCCTCTGTCATCCGTCACACTGCGGGGTCCTAGAATCTGGGCAGCTTCCCTGAGGGCAGAGCCAGACTCACCGCCTCTGACTTGGGAGGGACCGGGGGTGGCGACGCCTCGGTCTCCCGACGTGGGGCGCCCGCGGGCGCGAAGGAGATGAGGTCCGGCCCTAGCAGGGGCCGGACGCGGCCCTCGGCTAGGCTCTCAGGCGCCTGGTGTGACCACAGCTCCTCGTAGGGGATCTCGGCGGCCGCGGGGTCGGGCGCACCGGCCCAGTCGGGGCATACGTACTCCTGGTCGCCGTCGCCGGTGGGCGCGGGCAGGGCCGGCCCGAGGGGAGCACGGACGGGCGTGGGCACGCGCGGCGCTGGTAGGCAGAGGCGCGCACGGCGCGGGCTGGCGCAGTCGTCGGCGAGCTCCGCGGGCGCCTCTCGCACGGCGGTGGAGTACTCGTCTGGGTCGAAGCGCTCGCGGCAGTAGGAGGCGCTCTCGCGCACCAGGCGCTCGACGCGCGGGTCCCCCGCCAGCAGGCCCTGTGGCAGCGCGAAGCGCGGCGTGTCCGTGAGCAGCAGGAAGTGCAGCGGAGCCGGACCCTCCCGGCGCAGCGCCAGCCCCAGCACCACGGTCTTGGAGATGATGCTGACCAGTTTGTAACAGTGGCCCTCCCGCACCGGATGCAGGTCGTACGGGTTGCGCGGCGGCCGGCTGGGCACCAGCACATTTACCGGCAGCCGCACGCGCTCGATGATGGCGCGCACCGTGTGCTCGCCCTCCTGCATCTGCAGCTCCAGTGGGCTGCGCGTGCTGAAGCGGCCCTGGCACTGGAAGGGCAGGCTCAGGCTCTCGTTGGTACGGTGGTTCATGCAGATGAGGCAGGGCATCTTGCCTTTGATGGGCCTGGCGCCCCCACCGCCGCCCGCGGCCCCTACACTGCCCGGGCTGCCCACGCCAGCCAGTGCCCCCGCGCGGCCCAGCTTGCGCAGGAGCGTGGTGAAGCGCGAGCGCTCCTTGGTGGTCTTGGCGCACAGAATCTCTGCCTGGCCCATCAGAGTGAGCTCGTCGCCGGCGTGCAGTGTGAAGTTGTACACCTCGCTGTCCTCGCTGAACTCGCCCGACACCACCTGGGGAACCCCAGAGACAAAGGTGAGGTCGGAACTAGGGTCCCAAATAAAATCGCACACCAGCTCCAAGTTCCGAGGGGCCTCCAGGATAGGAGAGCAGCCTCTTCAGCCTTCCCATAGCTGACATCACAACCTAGACTGGGCTTGAAGGGAAGCTGTGCAACCTTAGGGGGTAGACTTGGGGCCTTAGTTATCTCGTTTGGGTATAGATATGTACTTGAAAAGCACTCAATCACTAGCAAGTTTTATTAAGCCATATTCACCGTTTTCATGATAACAGTGCCCAACCCCCAAGACTACTGTGAAGAGTAAGGAACTGATGGATAAGAAGGCCACCCACAAGGGTCCCATCAGGTCCCATCATGACCCCACACACACCTAGGAGGGCCTTCAGTCTATTGAGAACAGCCTGCTATTCTGACATGGTCTGACTGAAAAAGGCTCCCAGGGGATCCCCAGAAGCCACTTTTGGTCCTGGACACTACGAACAACACTGACCAGGGTCAGAGTTGCCCCTGAGGGAAGGGCTGCTTGGGAAGGTTATGCCCAGTGCCAGAAGGACTGACCTTGACACTGAAGGTGATAGCTTCCATCACAAAGATTCGGTCAGGGAAGACACTGGCCACTTCTTCCACACTGCTGAAGTATCTCACCGGCTCCCGCACATCCCGAGCCTGCTCCAGAAGCTTGAACTTCCCTGCACAAGGAGCCACGGGCTGCTGGGGAAAGCCTGCCTGCTAGCGGCCAGGCCTACATCCCAGAAGCACCCAGGTCCCTGACCTCTTGCTACCCTCCATTCAGCCAGCCCCTATGGTGAGCACAAGGTAGGTGTGCTGTCATCCCATGTAAATGGCCTCACCTCATCAGCCATACACCATTTATGTGCCTAACCACATGAGGGTAAAGGGGCTGAGAACTATGCTGGCATCAGATCAGTGGCCTCTTCCCAGGCTTCACACAGCAGGAAGAGCTGAGAATAGGTGAGGGACCAAAAGATGGAGAGGACAAGGTGATATTTCTGTTCCTGTAGTCCTGGTGCAGTCTTCACCACAGTTCACTCATTCACCAACAATTCATAGTATACCCACTCCCTGTCAGTCACTAGGCAGGTCTGCAGGAACAACTGTAAACAGTCTGCCCTCTAGGAAATCCAGACATAGTGAGACAGTGATGACAGCATGTGACAAGAGCTAAGGCAGACCTGTGAGAAAAGAGACAGAAACCTGCTGGGCAGAGTGTGCGGGGATCATCAAGCTGCACCTTTTAAATGAAAGGGACTTGGAAAAATGTGGAAGAAATGGCACAAGAAAATACACACACAAACATACACACACACACACACACACAAATTACCTGCCCAAGAACAAGTACACCTGAGAGAAGGTAGGAGAAGGAGCATACAGTAAGCACGTGTGAAAATGCCACAGGACTTCATTCTGAAAGAAATGAGAGGGGCTGGGGAGATAGCTCAGCAGATAAAGCACTTGTGCAAACTTGAGGACCAAAGCTTGGATCCTAATACCTACATAAATAGCCAGATGGGTGTGGCAGTCTGCCTGCAACCCCAGTAGGCAGGAGGTAGAGACAAGAAATCCCAGAAGCAAGCTGGCTGGCTAAACTAGTGGAGAGTTCTGGGCTCAGTGAAAAACCTGTCCCAATATATACGGTGAAGAGCAATCAAAGACACCTGATGTCAACTAGGAGCTTCTGTACACACATGCATGCACACACATAAACATACATACATACATGTACAACACACACACACACACACCCCAGAAAATAAGCAAATGAAATCTACTGGAGTTTGATCAAGGAAATACAGTGGCCCAAACTGAGCATGTGCAAGACTCAGGAAGCCCAGTCAGGCAAGCAATCTGGTAACAAGTTCTGGAGATGAACCAGGGAACAGCACAAAGAAAGCAGACCCACGGAATGCTCAGAGGGAAGATTCCTCAGACTTCACTGACTGAGGAAGGAAGTGGAGGAGGAGTCTGAGGGTGACAATACCTGTGCCCACTGGTCACAGTGAAGATAGCAAGCTGTTCCACACTGGGAACCTAGAAGGAATGTGGGGAAAGATCCTAGAAAACTAAAGGAGGGGTCTCCAGGTGGTGATCCCTAGAGTAGTACCACCGGTGTGGGGTGGGGAGATACCAGTGAGAGCATCAGACTAAACCGGTAGTGAGGCTGAGGCTGTGGAGCAGGTATGGCTCACAGAAGTGGAAAAGCTCTTAACTCTTTGAGGACCCATGTCCCAGAAAAACAGACACATGATGCTCCTAGCATAAATAGCACAGGGGGTTCTTGCTGCCCCCCAAAGCCCAGCCAGAGTAAGAAGAAAGCCAAGGGCAGGGCCTGAACCACCAGAATCCAAGAGTAGAGAGAAAGAAAAAGGAAGATAGGGGACATGCCCTTAAGCAAGCTGAAAGGGACAGGGTCCTGATCCTGCCCCAACCTCCCTAGGACATTAGGGGGAAGAGGAGTCACAGTCCAAGACAACAGGGATAAAATGAGGAGCAGGTTGGAATAAGAACCCACAGTTGCAGGTTTGTCACTCTCCAATCAGCAGCAGCCCCCTCTCTCTCCTATATCCATACACAACCCCCACCCTTCAACCATTAGCAGCCAGGCATGGAGAAATGCCCGCTGCCCCCTGTGGGGAGATTTGGAGCCCAGTCAGGACTGGAGCCTGGGAGGATGTGGCAGGGAAGATCGATGTAACCATGGCATCCAGCACCACCCCCCTTAGCAGCTCAGGGCCGATCATTTCTGTCCAGAGGAAGGAAGGGAGACCTCCTTGAAGTGATGCTCTGCCCTCTGCCCTGCAGTTTCCTCTCCTGCCTCCCTGAATATTGGTCACAGGGTCCTCTTATCTGCACTAGAGACTGTCACAACCCTGCCCTTGCTGTCTCAGAACACATTTGCACTGTGCTGAACTTTTCTAGCCAGAAGCACCCTACAGCCCCCTCCCAACACCAGACCCACAGCGAGGGCTCAATAAGGAATAGTGGGTGAAGCTCAGTGATAGAGCTCTTGCCCAGTTAGCACAAGGCCCACGGTTCGAGATTCAATACCCAGCCCAGCCGGTGGCAGCTGGTGGATGGGAGGGAGCACAGATTTTAGGGTTGGATCTGGTCGAGTCCCAATTCTGCCACCAACCTGCTCTGTGAAATCACTGAACATCTGGGCTTTGGTTTCCCATCTATAAAATGGAAACATACCATTACTACATGGCTCATGCTGGGGTTGTGTGAGGGGTGCACCTGACATGGGGCTCTTCAGGATCCAAGACCAATGCTTTAGCAGTAGCCCGTACTTGGGAAGGCATGTGGCCCCTCAGGCAGCACCAGCAGGGACTGTTGCAACACCAGGTCTCCCTGACTCTGGCAGCCAGAAGACCAAGGTCAGTAGGCAGTGCCCCAGCCCTACCCCTCCCCCATCCCACTCCCCCTGCTGGGCTGCACCAGCCTCTCTCTACAGTCCAGTCTGCAGCCTGCCTGGCTAGTGCCATTATTAATTCATTGGGAGGTCTCAGCATGGAGCCTGCACTCTGAGCCTCTAGTTAACTGGATGGCCCAGCCCCTCTCTGCCCTTACAAGGAAGAGGGGACAGGGGCCAGGTTCTGTAAGCCAGCTGTCACCCCGCTGTCCCTACCTCACACTCTTGCTAAGGAGGCACCAAAAAGGATTGGGGAGAGGGTTGGGGGAACCCCCGGATCCATTGTTTGCTGGAGGACTCTGTTCCATGGTTTACCAGAGTCTTAAGGACACAACTGAAATAGTGCTAGTCTCCAAAGTTCTATTTCTGTCAGCGAAGGCTTTCCCCAACAGTTGTTTTTGATATCAAAAAGTTGAGGATCTCTACCTGAGCTAATGCCAGAGTCTCAGGGCCCAAAAGCCTGCAGGCCAGGACAGAAGCCCAGGTCAGCTAGACCCTTGAGATAGTATCTGCCCTAGGGTGGAGCTCCAGCAGCCACCCCCACAAGTGTGTGGTCAAGAACCCAAGGCTCAAGGGAGACCTAGGCCAGGTAAAGCACTTGTCTAGCATGCAAAAGGCCTTAATTTAAACCCCAGTACTACAAAAAAGAATAAGTACTACTAAAAACATAAAAGTAGTTCATTAGTATAATCTTTAAAAGTCTAATATTTTAGCATTGGTTTATAAAGCCAGTCCATGACAACGAGTTTAACACAAAACTGGGAAATAACTGATACAGAGCTGACAGGGCGGCCACGCTTCAGCACTCCTTGGTTCCTGAAGCTTTTGACTGCACAGTGCTGAGGAGATTGTAGCAGATACTCTTTAGGAGTTTGCACTTAAACGAGTTAAAGGAAGCTTGAGGTACTCCTTTGAAAGCCTCTAGTTAGGGATAACATTTGATTTGTAGTGACAAGACTGTGGGTATTTATTATTGTTTGGTTTTTGTTGTTGTTGTTGGTTTTGGGGGGGTTGTTTTTGTTTTTGTTTTGAGATAGGGGCTCCCTGTAGCCCCAGCTGGCCAGGAACTCACTATGTAGATCAGGCTGCTCTGATTCTCAGAGAGACCTTCCTGCCTCTACTTCCCAAATGCTGGAATTAAAATACCCTGCCACTGTGCCTGGCAAGGATGTATTTTTATTTCTTTTTTATTTTTTTGTCTTTTTGAGACAGGGTCTCCTTGTAGCCCCAGCTGTCCTAGAACTCACTATGTAGACCAGGCTGGGCTCAAACTCACAAAGATCCGCCTGCCTCTGCCTCCCAAGTGCTAGGATTAAAGGCATGTGCCACCATGCCCGGCTTAAGGATGTATTTTTAATCATTACTTCAAAATCTATTTGACATTAAATGTGGTCTGGCATGATAGCTCATGCTTATAATCATAGCACTTGGGAGACTGAGACAGGATAAACACGAGTTTGAATCCAGCCTGAGCTACATAGCAAGAACCTGCCTCTAAAAAATGTAAATTAAGAGCCAAAAGTCTGTAAACCTAAGTTCCACATCTTCAGAGACCCAGGTCTAAGAAACCCACACACAGTATTGAAACTCCTAAGCCCTAACCTTAGCCATGACCTTAGCCACCACCCCTCTAGTATGCCCTTGCTCATCCCAGAAGCTCCAGGGATAGAGGATCATCAATGATTTCACCTAAACAACCCTCCTGTACCCTTGACCCCAGCTCCTCCTGCCTCCACCCCCGCAGGATCTGTGCCATCTGGCCCTAGCTGGGCACACCTGGGTATTGCAGGGGGATGTCAATCTTGGGCCCAATGACATAGTGGCCCTCCTCCAGGGTGTGGGCTGTCACTGTTGTCCACTGGCGGCAGGAATGGATCAGCAGAATATCTCGCTCGCTGATGCCCTCGGCATACTCCCCTGGGAGGGAAAGGAGAGAGGAGGAAGGAAAGGAAGATGGAAGACTGAGAGGCAGAAAGAACAAGCTAGGTGACCCCCCTGACCTCCTCAGCAAGCCCTGCCTGATCTTATGAAGATTCCTGTTCAGGTCAGCAACACCCGAGGGACAGGTGGGTTTGTCAACTGTGGCCTTTGGGCTGTGAGTCAGGCATGAACCTAAAGGCTCTGCCTCTCTCTGGAGCCTCAGCAGCCACTGCAGCCACAGACCTCATTCATCATGAACTGGAGTGCCTGCTTTCCCAGACTAGGGCAGATGACTCCCAATGGATGAGTCTGGCCCTTCAGCCTCTGCCCTCCAGGCATCCTCAGGCCCCTGGAGACTTGGAGGAAGCAAGTTCGAGGCACCAAGCTGAGGGCATCTGGGGACATGGGGGAGGGAAGCATCAGGCTGGGATGGAGAGAGAGACTTTACTCCTGACTGGAGCTAGGCCTCAGGACGAGGCAGATTCACATGAGCAGAATCCTGTCACCAAGTTAGTGCCCAGGTCAGTCAAGGAAGATCCTGTTGAGCCAGAGGAAAGGACTGAGAAGGGCTCTGTCCCTTGTGGGTCTTGGCTGTGAGAGTGCTCACAGAGCCACTGTTAGCTCAGGTCAGAATGGCAGGGCTTATGAGAACCCACTCCTGGCTCTCACTGAAAGAGACTTTTCCTCTCCACCCACTGCCATAGGCAGTCTAATGTTTGTGGAACCTCAAAGGACAGAGAAGGAACTTGCAGACACCCTGAACCCAATCTTAGAGAAGCAGTTTCTTAAAGTTGGCAGGTGGGCATGGGCTGGATTTAGAAAGTAGAATCATGGGGATCCTAGGCTGACAAAAAAGCCCAAAGCCTTACTGGGGCAGAGGTGCTGTGAGTTGGGAAGGATCTAGGCCTAAGAGGCTCCATCCCCAGCAACGGTTTCCAGGGGAGCAGGAGGGGCAGCCCAGCTTCCAGGAGGCTGAGGGGGCGTATCCTGGCTGCAGCTGGTGGGCACCATGGGGGTTGGGGAAGCCTCCTTCCCAGCCCCCTCACACACACTCTCACACAACTTACTAAATTTCTACCAGGTTTATTCTAATAACTGGGACTTCACAAAGTGTGTGCATGTAGTGTGTATATGCAGTGGTGGGGTCTTCAGTGCCTGTAGGGAGGGCCTCCCACTGCTCCCACCATGTGTGTACATGGGCATGCGTGTGTGTGTGTGTGTGGTGTCTGTGTACAGGGAAGGTTTGTCTCAGCTCCTCAGCTTCTAGGGCAGAGGAAACTCTACTCCCCACAACTCTACAAACTCTTTCTAGAGTTTGCCTAAGCCGCACCCAGTCTTCCACAGGAACACAGGCCAAAGCCACACAGGTATACACCAATAGCTGTAGGTCACCATCATCAACAGTTCAACAGCAGCCAATAAATGCTTGTCACCCAAACAGCAAAACTCAGTCTCCCCATCCCATCAATGCAGAGGCACACAGGGACCTTCAAGGACACACAATTTCGAGCATACATTCACACTCTAATGGTGACCATAGTCATAGCCACATAACACTCTGTCACAGACCACTTGGCCATGTGAATGAATCTTCATAATATTTCTTAGGCTCCTCCTCCAAAACCCAAGAGCCCAACAGAAGAAGCTGAAGCTGATGAGTGCACAGAAAGACACAACACAGAAGGGCCACACAGGTGTCAGGGGAGCCCAATGGAGGCCCTAGCCATACGAAGGAGGTGTCAGAGATACATGGGAAGTGGCAAGAAGAACCTAAGGCAGTAGATCCCATTCACAAGCAGACAGTCCCGTGTCCCATAGTCTTGGATTACATGCTGAGTGGTAGATGTCGACCAGAGCCAAACTGCCAGGTATTCCTGCCCCATGGCCTGGCTCCGATGCTCCCACAGAGCCGGCTCTGGCCAGCCTGATATTCGCTGTACCCAGTCCTTGCGGTTGCCCATCGGAGGAGGGGCTGCCGGTCCACGATGAAGACAGCAGAGGAACCCCCATTAGCATTCAGGGAAGCGAGTATGCCAACGCGGGCCAAACCCCTATTCTTCTCACACACAAAACCCCCAGCCTGGCTGCCAGCCCCGGCTCCCGCCCCTCCCCCCAGCCAAACAGCCCCCTTCCTCTTCCCCTCTCCCCAGGAACAGTCCGCTCTCTCCACGTAGCCTTCAGGCGTCCCCTCTCGGACCCTCATGTACGGTACCATCATCTGAACACCCTGAAGAAACAGGACAAGTGGGGAGGCGGGGGGAGTCCTGGGAGAAGCCTGGGCAGGGCCCGCTCACTACTCAGGCCTCTCCTGAAGGTAGCCCATAGCCAGAGGACCTCAGGATTCCAAAGGAGGGTTCGGAAGAGCCTCAAAATGGGACTTGCGGGTGGAAGTGGGGAAAAGACCTACTGAGGCCGGAGGGATGCGGGAGGATGGAGGTAAAAGGCCGAAGACAAAGGGACCAAGGGGGTGCGGCCGGGGCGGGGGCTGAGAGGCACCAGGAAAGGGGGATGCACCGACGGGGCGGCTCAGAGGTTCAGTAACGCTCCCAGCTCTAGAGGGGACGAAAAACTGTCCCGGGCCCGGTCGCCGGTGTCTATTCCTTGTGCGGGCCCGCGGGATCCACGGGGCGGCCCCTGGGCTCGTGGGCTCCGGGCGTCCCGGGGAGGCGCTCCAGAAGGCGCGCAAGGCCCGCGCCGCCCGGGACGGGGGTGACGGGGCAGGGGTCGCGTCCATCTCGCATCCCGCCAGTCCCACCTGGCGAGGCCGGAACTGCCCGCACACCCCAGTCTCCTCCCAGCCACCCCGGTACCTGGCCCGAGGCAGGCGAGCGTGGGCAGGCGGCAGCGGCTAACGATGAGGTCGAGCGGGAAAGCGCCCATGCTCCAGCGCAGGCCCGCCAGCCCGGCCGCTAGCTTCTCCATGGCATGGGCGCCCCCAGGGGCCGCCGTCCCGGGGCCCCGACGGCCAGTCCC